TCTACTCATTTCTAAATGATTTGTACATAATTCTTTTGAATTATAGTATACAACGCCTGTGAGTCACAGGAAGTTACTGTATTACATCACAGTATTATATGAACTGAAGGTTTGCAAATTCTTCGAAATGCAAAAAAGTGCATACAAAACATCTATTTCAGTGGAAAAGTGCCCAATGCTCCATATTCTCTCTGCACATTTATGGAATGGCTTTTGAATGTGGCACAAGAACCTAGAATAAGTCAATTAATGTTTGAACAATTCCTGCAATCTATAAAGCACCTCTTTCAAATGACTAATATGGTCTTATTATGAACTAGTATTGCATTTTAGAACTACCACACCTATCATTGGCTGAACACAACAACTTCCTTCTAAACACATATAGCTATCAAATTCATCCCAAAACATTTCAGTTGGATTAACTGAAATTCAAGCTAGAAATATGACCTATGGATGTCAAAATTAGCTTCTCCTGAAGTTCATGTACTGGGTTTTCTAATTATTTATTCCATATTCCTTAAATGCCTCACTTGGCATCTTCTGGTGTTTTTTTTTAATGTAAGCAATTATAGACTTACTTGTAATATTTAAGAGTTTTTACTGCTATGTCTATTACTCTTCAAATTGATGTCAAAAAGTGTATTGCAGCACCTTGGGGCAATTGTTCTTACATTGCAAATCCTCTAACAACAAAAATCAGCTAGCTGAAACTGATATTTGATCACCATAATTCTTAGATGGGCTGACACATGTATGCACAGCAAGAATTTATAATTTGAAGCCAGAGTGCTTGTGGTCAATAGCCTCTTAGGGGAGGCTAGAATCACAGTACAATTTGCGTCTCTCTGCTTTGCAATAAGATTTGCATGTTGTCAAATCTCATACAGCGCTTATGAATTTGCTTGCTTGGTTGCCATGAAACGGGGTAGGGGGGGTAGGGGGCAGGAGAGCTACTGGAATGCCTGGGAGGGGAGAAGTGAGCTGGTGGAGAAGAGAAGAGAAAGTTTTCTTCAGCGTTTTCTTTGCAGCTGATAACAACTCAAGGTCGACCATCGTGGCATAGCAGAAGGATGGCACCATCGGACATTGCACCCCACATGACTCCTGGGGGGGAATGTGGATTGAATAATTTTCGCTGAACAGTTGGGGGAAGGATTTTGGGGATGCTTTCTATATGTAATTTTCATGCCTTTTGCTTTAGACCTTGCTTTTCTTTAGTTGCGTTCAGTTCATACTCAGTAAAAGTATCTTTCTCTATGAAAATGGAGTCGGGGTTTTTCTTTCTTGAGTATTGAAAGGAGGCATACCTGATAGGCATACTAGTTCCTATCTTAATCCATATTATATATAAATGTCAACATGGGTTTTATAATGATTTTTTGATACAGGGCCTGGCAACCTTTGCAAATGCTAGACCTTGTCAGGCCTGAATATAAAACAAATATTTAAGAATAGTTCTCACATTATTAGTTCATTAAATAGAACAGGATTCCCAGGAATCAACCCTGAGATTTTGTTAGAATTTTGAAATCTAGAAGATTCATCTATTGTATGTGATCACAATCATTTACAAATGATTGGATTTGGGTTTTATATGGACACCATCTATGAGCCTCATAAAGCACTGATGACAGTTTATGTTATGAAGGTGGCATAATAACATTATCTATGGTTTAAATCTGCATATTCCTCTACCATCTCATCTCAGAATTTTTTTTTGCAGTGCTTAAAATTTTTTATTTGATTCTCAATTATACTAAACATAGAAGTATGCATTTGCACATGACTGGAATTGGGCATCGTCAAACCATATTAACTATTCATAAAAAGGTGACATATACATGAAAACATTAGCACTATAGACACATGTAATTCATGGGAATCGTGTCCATTAATTTCCAAATACTGTTCAATGCTTTGTACATTTATGCGTATTAAAAGCATCTTTCCTATAAGTAAAATTAGAATATGAATTACTAGATTTCATATATGAAACATCTTTGTATTTAGAAGAGATGTGTGCTTATCTGAATTCCCACAAATTCTGTGGTTAATTTTAAGAGGTTTATTATATCTATAATATAAACTTTTTTTATGGAAACAACTAGGATATGTTAACATTCCTAAGGTTATTAGAAAAGATTATCCTGCCTTCATTTGCTGGAGAAGCTGGATCCCACGGAGAAAAAAAAATCCTTAAATTCCTTAAAACTTAAACAAGTTCTCTAGTTCTGTTGAAAGCTTTAAACAGGAGAACCTTCTTGAAATGGCAAATTGTGCAATTTCTCAAGTATCTTCTTTCTACATTTCCACAATAAGTGGAATTTAGCATTTCCTGTTTTTAAACTCCAGTGATGGGGAAAAAGCAGCTTGAATCAACTAAAAGCAGACATGGTGATTTTTTGGGGGGGGGAACCATTATTTTCTAGAATCTTTTTTCTCACAAGGATAGCTATCAATGATGGAATGTTCCAGAAGATTAAGGGTTTCCTGCTTGTTTTTGCGTAACACCACTTCAGATGGTGGATCATATACATTTGTTCTTTTATACTCACAGCAAAAAGGTGTTTTACCTAGAATGAATTGGCATACTGGAAAATGATAGCGGGTATCATGTTGTAAAGATGAGTGGATATTATGCTAATAGCAGCAGAAACTGAAGTATCATTGCCAGAGAAAATATAGAGACAGAGTTGGAATCTGGGTTTATGGTAGAGAATGGTCCACTTTCACACATACTGACCTGCCATTAAGTCAAGTGGAAGGAAAATATCTATTTGTATCCCAAATTGTAGGATTGCCATTTCTTACAGTAAATTACTTCTGCCACCAATCTAGGACTGTTTTTCCTCCCATCCTTCACTTGCTTATTGATTGAGTGAGAAGCGTTTTAAATTTTATTAGTAACCCTCTCCCTGATGTCTGAGCAGATAAAAGCCGTAACACTTACCTCTCCTGAAATCCAAGATTTATTTTTTTCTGGTCAATGTTTGTGTTTCAATAGAAACTAAAATCCCATAAGTATCTAGAGCAATTTGTGCCTCTAAAGCATAGTATCTGTATGCACTATGTACTTCTATAATGATGTTTAGAATGTGAGTATATTGCATGGAATAGCATTGGTTTAAATTGATGCTATGACTGTATTTTTACAGTTGCCTATAAAATGGAAATTTTTTGCCCAATTTAATTATGGGCAGTTTCAGGGTTTAGATCTCAACTCCTAACACCCCTATTCGTCTCAGCCAAGAGCAATCTGATTACTTAGCTATGATCTGATGAGAACATTGACAGATCTAACCCCTTTGATGGATAAAAGACTATCAGAAGATGCTGTATTACTTGATTAAAAGAGATAAAAGTTTATGAGAAGTAGAAAACTGTCTGAGATCTCACTTAAGTATCAATTAAAAAACCCAAAAGTGACTATGTTTAATAATGTGAACAGAGAATTTTTTCCCTTTTCATTTTTCCCCCCAAGAGGGAGGAATTTTAAGCTTGGCTCTTCCAACTCCAGTGGATAATCTGCCAAGCAAGCCTTTTAAAATGAATAGGAAACTGCTCTATTATAATAAACAGGGCCTTTGAACAGACATGAATGACAGGGAATGCTTTAACATGCCATGAATGTGTTGTCTGAAAAAAAAAATCCATATATAGTGCTAATGTCTTTTAATAGCAAGTATAAAACCTGTTTGCATGTTGATCACAATACTCAAAAATGGGCTCTAGCCCTATCAGAATTTTGATTCCTCTTTCCTATTCTAAATAGCTTACTTCATGTTCGAAAACTGCTTGCATAATCCACCGATTTAATTTCACATAGATCATTTTCCCCCCCTTACGTTTTATTCTGCGTAGTTCAATGACAAGTATTTATAATGTAAACTTGTCCTCTGCAGTCTGCTTTATCTCCCATTATGGTAATAAAGACCAAAGGGGAGTTAAGATATTCATCAACAGCTTTGCTTATACAGAGATCAGTGTCATGGAAACTCATCAAAGCTATTGAAGTTTCTCACATAAAACAATTCCATTACTTATTCCTGGTTTAAAAAAACCCAAAAGACTATATGAAACATATGTGTGTGTATGCATGTATTACAGTATAAACTCACATAATACTTTTATATATGCATACATATGCATGTGTGTGTGTCATAACAGCTTAGAACAAATTATTTTCATGTATAAGGAATGTAGTTGTGTATGAGGTATGTGTGAAGAAAAATGGTTATGTAAGCCTTGTCATGTTGCAACCAGAAACCACAATGCTGTAGTTGCTCATAAGATGTGAAATGTCAGCTCCTTAAGAAAATCCTTTTAACAATCACTCTTAGCCAGGTGTTAAATGAACACTTTAGTCATGGTAAAACAGGTGTAATCAGAAAAGCCTTTGTAAATTATTTACTGTAAAAAATACTCCTCATATTGGCTAAGTTCAAAAATTACATGGAACAATCGTTTAACTTTTGAACCTCAATGGCTGAGGTCAAGCAACATGGAGATAAAATGAAATGAACCATAATGTATGAAATTAGTTATTGTGTCTTTAAAAAGTACAGCAAAATATGTTCTTAGCAAGCAGAAGGCAGCTGGATTGATGCACATCCACATAATATAAATTTTCCAAGTTGAAAGTTTCTCTTACTTCCTTTGTTTTACCATGTAGCAAAAACAAACAAACAAACAGGAATTGCAATCAGACTGGATTTAAAAAGTGGTCTTGAAACAAAATCAAGGCTATTTATTTTACAGTAGGTTCTTCATTTTCTGTTGACTGGATCCTGTGTTAGAAAATTGAAAACCAGCAGGCATGCATACTGAATTTGGATTCAGTAACGTTTGTAATTTAGGCTTGATATGATAAAATAATTTTTCACTTTAACTGGAATCAGCCCCTAAAATTATGAAAGCTGAATCACTATGGCAATCAATTGTACAGTTGTAAAAACTTTTCATTGACACCAATTAAAAAGAAAAAAAATACTAGGTAGTTATATGTTTCAATTTTATTATCCAGAGGCACTTATATAGAAAAATCATACATATGCCTTTCCTTCTAATTGACTTTACAAGCTATAAAATAACAAATTACTGCAATTATTTCCCACCGAAACCAGAGTCTCTTGTGATCAACTACAGTACAAAATACTACCAGGTTAAATGTGGTATAAAGTATGGCGATGCTTCATTCTTGCGGACTTTTACAATATACCAACATTTCGAGTTTAATAAATCGTTAACAGTATCAATCAAAACATATGACCATGACAAGACCATCATGGCTGATTTGTGGATCATTTTGCATAACCTTTGAATCATTACAGACGAAAAGGATAACTTTAACAACTCTTGTCCCCTTGAGCACTGCTCTGGTTACTTTTACCTTCATACTAGTTCTCTCATGGGGCAGGTTGATTTTTGATGCACTCTGAATAAAAGTATGAAGCCTGAGCTTAATGAAGGTCATCCAAAATCACCATTTCCCATTAGGGTTTCATGTAGCACAGAAGTAAATCAACCGGTATCACTGATTAATAGTTACTGAAGTTAATCAGCTCCGTCTGAGAGGTAACATTTTTAAAAATTGTGCCCAGTGGGTAAAATTCATTGGAGAGTTTCCGATAAGTAGAAATGCTTTTTTGTTCAAAGAATGTGGAGGCCTTCCCAACAGCATATATCCCTCAGAATCTTCTGGATTCAGAGAAGATTTTATAGGGTTATGGTGGCTGAAGGGAGATGGGAGAGTAAACAATTAGCTCTACTTCCCAAGCAATGCAATGTCCCACTCTATGAAAAATGTTGCTATTAAGCAATCCTGGATTTTCTACAAAAGATGCTATATGGTTTAGGGTGCTTTCCAGTTAGTAACAAAAACATACATGCCATTTTTGACTATTACTCACTTGTAGCCCAGATTTCCTGTAAAAGGATATATATGTTATTTTAATAGCAGGTTTTTTAAATAGGAATTTCTTGAGAAAGCTAGTCTCAGTAGAATAGCCGCACAAAAAAAGAAAAGAAAAAGATCATATATGGAAAAAGAAGTTTTCACCAGAAACGTGGCAACCAAATTCAAGTCAGAGCTTTGTTTATTCCTGATGTCAGATTTCCATCCAAGCTGAAACAACCATTCCAAGCAATTGATTTATGCTAAATTGGTATCAGAGTCTTGCTGCTTGGAATGCTTGTTTCAGATTATGATATGTCCTGATGCATTGTCTGTAAACTCATAAATAGTTATTTAACATTTATTTTTGCATTTCTCAGATAATTTATCCTAACCCAACTCTCCACCCATTTAGCCAAAGCAAACATGAAAACACATTTAAAAACCCCGGCTTTTTGGAAAAATACCAAATCTGATGAACTATTTGGAAGTTTGACAAATTCCAGATTTCCCATGAAAGAGGGATAATTAATGATTGACTAATCATTAAGAAGAAATGCTGATTTTAAGCAAAGAGTGGGGGGGAAACCAACCACATTTATTTTCCATGTAGTGCTTGCCATCATGTTAAGTGCATGTGGATATTATATTAAAAGGACAAAATCACGTCATACAGCTTTTAAAGATTTGTTAGAAGAATGGTAATCAATTACATAGCCAGATTAACCAACTCACATCTTCCAGTCCCATCTATGTCAATAAATCTGGATAATAATTTATAATCATCATGTGTAAGTTTTATCACATACTTGTTTCAAAAATGCTTATTTATAGTTAAGCAGTTATGTTGTTTTTATAAAAGTAATTGACAGGAAGCCAAACAATTCTTCAAGTAATAACTATAAAATAGTTCTAAAAGATTCTGAACTGTTTCTTGGTGACTCTGAACTGCTGTATCTCTGGCATTACTTAAGTTTACATTCCTTTTTTTTTTTTTTTAAATCACATATTACAGACCTACATGTCAGGTACAAAAAGCAAATACCTTCTCTGAAAAATCCAAATCCTTGTGGCAGATATGTATCGCATTTCATTTCGCACTTGCACACTACATTCTACAAATTACAAAGAGATCAGACCTCTCATAAGTGAGAATGTCCATGATCTTTATTCCATGACAAGGATTTGGGAATTATTTTATTTCTTTCTTCTTTATTTTTTTCCCCCATTCTCATTCCTCTTATCTGTCCTTCTGAAATTGGAATATAAAGGTCAAATGAAATATTGTTATTTTATTTGCGCTGAGCAGGGAAAAAATCGAAAGACAGGATTGAAGGGTAGTGTCCGGCAATGGCCAGAGGATGTTGGATGGAGTTTATCTTTTTGCAAAGAAATTCTAAGGGTCTTTTCTCCCATGAATACAGCATATTGCTGGAAGGAGACTGTCTCCACAGCCACTGCTAACATAAAGGCCAATTGCCCTGTAACTATGTTACAGTAATATAACAAACCCTATCCTGAAAAGAGTACATATAATGAACTGATATATTAGGATGATGACATAGAAATTCATACCTGTTATAATGGATACAGAAGAGGTAGTGAATCTAATTTGAATAAGGGCCTTCCCCAGAGGAAGTATGGTCAAACAGAAGTCAAATTAGTTGACTTCAGACTGTTTACATCCCAGGATGAATCAACATTTCAGTGATTTAAGCCCAATTTAATTTAGGCAGATTTTTTTAAAAAAAAAAACACAAGAACAAGAACATTCTTAGAGCATATTAATAATTAAACCAACATGAACACAAATTAGTAGTATTCTACATAATAATAAAGGTACTGACAGCTTGTTATCGTATTCCTAGTAATCAATTTAAAAGTAAGTCAAGTAGCTTTGTTACACCACAATGTACGTTTTCCAAGTCCAGTGTTGTTAACAGTCACGGCTGGGGATGGCTGGAGATGGGAGTTATGAACCAAACTCAACGGTTTCTTCAGTAATTTTCTTGAACTCATAGTTGCCTCTTCCATCCATGTGAAGATAAAACTGGGGAGACAAGGAAACAGAGTCAGCAAATTTGGATATTAAAGAGTGAAAAGTATGCATCTGTTTAGATAAAGATCATTTAGAGAAATTTATATTCAGACATTGCTCTTGGGAAAAAGAGCTCTGTAAAATGTGGACATTTGATCACCATCTGCTGGCCATGATAATTCAACCAGGGGCCTAAGCCTTATCCACTGAAAGCTGAATTCAATGCTTTTTATTATTGAAGCTCACTAATTGTTAAATAACAATCCTGTATTCTTCAAATAGTGATTAAAGACAATGGGTATTAAAACAGGTGATTTATCAGAAAATTTTTTTTTAGCTACAACAAACTAATGACAAAAGTGACCTCTCATAGACTAGACTAGACTAGACTAGACTAGACTAGACTAGACTAGAATTCTTTATTGGCCAAGTGTGATTGGACACACAAGGAATTTGTCTTGGTGCATATGCTCTCAGTGTACATAAAAGAAAAGATACATTCGTCAAGAATCATAAGGTACAACACTTAATGATAGTCATAGGGAACAAATAAGCAATCAAATCATATTAGAAAACAGCCAATATAAATCGTAAGGATACCAGCAACAAGATTATAGTCATACAGTCATAAGTGGGAGGAGATGGGTGATAGGAACGATGAGAAGATTAATGGTAGTGCAGACTTAGTAAATAGTTTGACAGTGTTGAGAGAATTATTTGTTTAGCAGGGTGATGGCGTTCGGGAAAAAACTGTTCTTGTGTCTAGTTGTTCTGGTGTGCAGTGCTCTATAGCGTTGTTTTGAGGGTAGGAGTTGAAACAGTTTATGTCCAGGATGTGAGGGGTCTGTAAATATTTTTACAGCCCTCTTTTTAATTCGTGCGGTATACAGGTCCTCAATGGGAGGCAGGTTGGGAGTAATTGTTTTTTTTAACTGTTAACAAAGTTTTAATTATATTTATGAGCAATCACAATGTGAAGTATTAATATAGAAAAACCAACAATCTTCTTTAATTATTCTTGAGATTAAATGCACATGATTCAGAGAAGTATAAAATTGGTTTTATTGTAATGGTTTATTGTAATGGTTTATTATAGTTTTATTCTTCCATTATTCTATTCTAATATATATGTATACTTTTGAAAGGAAGTTTCAGTAACAATATGGTTATAAATTGAATAAATAATAAATTCTGATCTTAGAAATTTAGAAGAAAAATATAACAGAATCTAAACAAACCTCTGGCTCTTTAACACTCAAAAATAAGGGAAAAATATGCAGTGAATTTTTCCATTTATTTACTTCCAATGTCAATTTCTAAGGCTGCTCACTCGCCAATGACACGGGGCAGCTCACACAGAGTTAAAAAGAACACAGGAAAAAAAAATCATAAAAAAGAGTTGCACTGAGGGGATAAAAGGACAGGAATTAAACAATACAGTCTCAGAATTCAAAATGCTGATTCATGCAATGTCCCAGCACGGTGTCTCTGGGAACAGCCAGGTTAGTAATCTAGAAGTGGCTCATAAGTGGGAGGTTTGTGACCTGGGGACTTCCCATACTTATTAAAAGCGTTATAATGCCTTCAAGCTAATTCCTAGGCTTAAAACTTTATGCTTTGAGACCAGAATATTTAAAGAGTAAGTCTTCTGTTTGATTCTACCCCTTAATTCAGATAATAAGAGCTCCTATGTACATTATTGTTTTCAACCTATCCAGCAATAACATACCAAGCTGGTCTTACTCCCTTAGCAGACACAAATAATGTAGAATGGATTTTATGCATTAGGGGAAAAAAAAGCAGTTAAATAAAATAAGCCTTACATCATGGTGCTTCCAAAGTGATTTTCTGTGAGAAACAGTGAAGAGAGTGATGCCAACCTGAAATGCCAAAACACAGTTTAAGGGTTATAATGAGCTTTAGATTGTTAGACATCTATCTGCACTGAAGCACACGAAACAATAAGAAAGCCAACCCATATATGATCTACAGAAAAATAATCTAATTTTCCAAAGTATCCCTTTTTCTAAAAGCAGCTACTGAAAGAGGGAACATTTAGAACAGGATTATAGTGCTGGAATGACACTTTTTGCTCTGTTTAATTTTATGCTGCATAATTCCCTTTTGTAACTAACAGTTGCATTGTGATACTTGTACATTTTTCCTACAATAAATAACAGCAGCTTCGAGTTGGGTGATTCGGAACAGGGTTTCTATATAGGAAACATAAAAATTCACTCCCTTCTCCTAACCCTGGCCTCCCATTCTGCCCTTGGATTAAAAATCAGGCTATAACTCCTATGTCATCTTTACTTTTGGGTTCCAAAATTAAATAAAAGATACACAAATCTTTTTCATTGAATTCGCCAGAGTTGAAGACCAATTTTCAGAAATCGCTTCATAATTACTGTACAAATATATTTTAACCATTTTTAAAACTTTCATTCCAAGACAAAGAAGAAACCTGAATGCAGTGAATGAGAAAATACGTGCATGAATAGTCAACTACAGCTTCAGCAACTGCACAATTCTTATTTGCTTTGGCCATAAGACAGACAAAACAACTATTCAGGGCAGGACCAGCTCTAACTCAGTTTCAACTGTCAGATGGGGAAGCATATATATTTAATATATAAACTTAAATAAATAAATAAATCCACAAAATACCCAGTTAGCCCTCTTACTGCATTATATTCCTCCATCCCCTATCCAGGACAGGGTTGGGCAACTATGACAACCTGTACAGCTGACTTAGGAATTCTGGGAGTTGAAATCCACATGCTGTAAAGATGTCATAGCAGCCTACCCCCTGGTCCAGGAGCAGCTTCTTTGACTGAAACTGGAGAATTAATTCTATCAAATCCCCATTTTTTTTTCACTCAGCCACTATCTCCCCCCTTTTCCCTCAAAACAATGACCCGTATTATTCAATGAAATAAATCACTCTCATCCTTTAATTCAGAGAAATCACCCTCAGGTTGGAGGGACTTCATGAGAAGAAGGACAGACTTTAGTTATATTCTACAGAAAATATCAAAATAAAAATCGGCTAAAGCAGACTGTCGTTATTCTTCATGTGATTTTTCTCTCTGCTGTTTTATTTTGTCTTCTTTAACATATTTTCAAGTTAATATGTTAGTGTTAGGGTCTGTAGGCCTAACGTTACTATAGTCATGCAGTCATACCCTTTTCTTTTTTAAACATGGCATTAAAGTTGGATCTTAAACTAGCAATGCAAGATTAACCTCAGAAAGACATACTTTCCGACAATGGCTGTAGATGTATCCCTCCACATCAACACTAACGGCACTCGTACATTCATCCAGAATGGCAAACTGGGGTTTATGGTAGAACAATCTAGCCATCTGCAATGGAAAAAGAAACGATAAAGGATTACTATATAATCCATACATACGAAGAACATTAAACTGGATTTTTTAAAAAAAATATCTAAGATATTTTGCAGGTAATCCTAAAAAATAAGCCACATTATATGATGGGAGAGACGTTCAAATCATAACAGTACTACACAAATGTTCATTAATTCCACCACACTCATATTCTCCAGAGAGTCACATTATTTGTACGAGGTCCTTTAGTAAACGTGAAAATAAAAACAAAGCAATTTTTATATGTGGCACACAGTTCTCTCTCTTTTTTTTCTTGAAGTAGATGCAAAAATTTCATTCTGTTGCCATCACACAGAATTATCTGAAAATATTTTACTAAATTTCTGACCCTCTTAAAAGTAGCAATTAATGGGAGACTTATCTATGACTGAGAACTGCTGCCAGTCTGTGTTAATTCTAGATTAGAAGAACAAATATTCTGAACTGGAATTAAGCAGATTCCCAACTGTAAGTAGTGAACTTATTATTTTTTTAAAAGCTTATTGTCAAAAGCAGACATTGTAACACATTTTGTTCCTATGTAATAGTGTACTAAATTATTAATCAACAGGTACAGGTAGTCCTCAATTTACAACAGTTCATTTAGTGACTGTTCAAAGTTACAACGGCACTGAAAAAAGTAACCCATGACTGTTTTTTACAGTTATGACCATTGCAGCATCCCCAAGGTCATGTGATCAAAATTCAGATGTTTGGCAATTTATGACGGTTGCAGTGTCCCAGGGTTGTGTGATCACCTTTTGCAACCTTCTGACAAGCAAAGCCAATGGAGAAGCAGATTCACTTAACAACCGTGTTACTAACTTAATGACTGCATTGATTCACTTAACAAATGTGGTAAGAAAAGTCGTAAAATGGGGCAAAACTCACGTAACAAATGTCTCGTTTAGCAACAGAAATTTTGGGCTCAGTTGTGGCTGTAAATCGAGAACTAGCTATAGTAGATCCAGGACGATGACTGGAGCATCATTTTACTTCAATTCCTTTCGGCTTGCGACCTCCAACAAAGTGGATGGGATACTAAGATCTCCTCAAACATCTATAGTTTTAATCTTTGCCCTACTTAGCTCCTTTGGGCAGCTAAAGAAGAGGGAATTTCTAGATCTGGACCTGGAGATTATTAATGCCTCACCGAAGGATGGGATGCTAACAGCAGCCTTGAGGGAGGCTGTGATACACCTCCTCAAATAGTTCTTTCTGGATCCAGAAGTATTGGATGACTATTGCCCAGTCTTTAACCTCCCCTTTTTGGGGAAGGTTATTGAAACCATTGTTCAATAACAGTATGGAGCATCTTATATGAAATGAATTTTTGAAGGACTCTACATTTAGGAATAGAGACAACCCTGGTTGCTCTAGCAGTTGATGTTTGTTGGAACTTAGGGATGTGGCGGTCTATAAATGTAATTAATAATAGTGGTAGTAGACCACCGTTTTACTGAATTTATGTCAACACGTCAATCAAAACAAGTGTTAGAAAATTGCATACGGTATCGAGGGACACTGTGAAGGCAACCTACCGCCATTCTCTGTTTTTCTCCTCCACTGAGAACATCCATCCAGTCTTGAATGCTATCCCAGCCTCCTTCACGTTCCAAGATCTGACCCAGCTGGACATTATCTAAGTATTCCTTTAACACCTGCATCCAAAACAGTAAACAAATATTGCTTAACAGATTGCCGATACGTTTGCTAGTACCTCCCTCTTAATTTATCTAATCCTTCCCCTCTTTGACAATTTAGATTGGTTTAGTTCAAAAAATTTTGTCAGATAATTGTACCAAGCAACAATATTAACTGAGTTAGATTATGTACTTTAAGTGGTATTGAAGTACATGATAAATGTTATGCAGCCTCACATACAATTGGCCTAAAAGTGGTTCTGATTCACTGACCTTCCCTTCTGTTAAAATAGACACTCTAAATAACCATGTGCTCTCTTTCACCAGAACTGGAAGAGCCTTGGTGGCGCAGCGGACTAAAGCGCTGTTAAGTAGCACTTAGCTGCCAGCTGCCTGCAATTACTGCAAGTTCAAATCTTACCAGGCTGCCAGCTGCCTGCAATTACTGCAAGTTCAAATCTTACCAGGCTCAAGGTTGACTCAGCCTTCCATCCTTCCGAGGTAGGTAAAATGAGGACCCGGATTGTGGGGGCAATAAGCTGACTTTGTATAAAAAGAACACCGCTTAGGGGGCCCCCGAAAGCCCTACTAAGCAGGTATATACAAAAGTATGAAGGCTATTGCTTAACGCATTGTAAGCCGCCCTGAGTCTCCGGAGAAGGGCAGCATATAAATCGAACCAATAAATAAATAAATAAATAAATAAATAAACTATAGTTTTTTTCCTCCAATTTCTCTGTGATTCAAGACAAAAATCACAACAGCATTGCTACAGAACCTGGCATTTAACTCAGAGAAGCATCAGCACAGATTTCAGATTCAATCAATATTCTCTTTTTCTATATAGGAATCAGAGTTCTGGGACTTGGAAATCCATGTGTACAGTTATAAAATTTCCCCCATCTTGAAAGCTTGGCAGAAATTAAAGCAGAAGAATAATTTCTACGCAAGTACCAATGAACTGATGCATCTCTTCCTTATTACTTTCATATCCTTTAACGGTATCAGCAGACAGGGAGCTATGCACCTGAGTTTTCTGTCCTATGTTTTCTGTCAGGTTGGTCACATAATATAGCACATTTTCCTATCTGCCAAGCGGCAGTGTCTACAATAAATTCAGAAAATTAGCTTTTATGATTCTGCTTCTATACTAATTCAGAGTTCTACAGTAATTGAGCAAATTAAAGGTTGTATGAACAATGTTGTAATTAACTTCAATTAAAAAAACAAACAAGAATCAACCTGAAACACAGATGCCACTACAACAGCAAATCTGAAAACCAATGAAACCAATACTCTATCCAGAAACCTTATTCTTTTGGCATACTTATCTATAATAGATACATATTTACTTTTTAAAGTATTATATCTTTCTCAGAGCAAGACAATTCAAAATGTGTAGAAACATTTATGAATTTTCCTTCTTCTCTGCTCCCATTAAGGTTGTAATAAATACAAGAGTATCCATTCATAGAGATTTTGTACATATGCACTGAGACAAAACTGGCTTAAATCACTGGGATTTCAAATTATTACATGCGTTTAAAATTTACAGTGATTTCTGTTTTTTAAATTTGTATTTATTTTTATTATATATCTACAGTAAATATAACCTTTAAAAATAGATAGACAGAGCCAGTTTGATCTAATGGTTAAGGCACAAGACTACAAAGCAGGAATCTGTGAGTGCTAGGTCCCATTTTAGCCATGAAAGTCAGGTGGGTGACTTTGCATCAGTCACTCTTTCTCAGCCTAACGAACCTCACAGGGTTGTTGTTGAGGGGAAAGTAGGAGGAGGAAAGTTTGTTGGATATGCTAGCTGCCTTGAGTTATTTGTAAAAATAATAAAGGAGAGATTCAAATAAATAAATTGTAGGAATAATAATGCATTTCACCTGGTCAGTGATGCCTTTCCTTTTTTGATCTTCTATAGTGTCTGGATAAATTACTTGGTCTCTCAATGTCCCAAGTGTCATATATGGTCTCTGAAATTAAATTTATAAGGAATGAGAAAATTGGGACATTTATCAGAGAGAAGAAATGCCAACAGTTCTAGTGGTTTGATTTACCTGGGGAACATAAAACAACTTTCCTCTCTCGGGTTTAGTTAGACAGCCGCCAAACAAAGGCCACAACTGCAATAAGAAAACACAATTGATTAGAATAGAAATGCAACATCATTTTTTTTGCCCTTAAATTCAAGTTTACTTTAGCCTTTACTTACTTCACCAAGGACACGGAAGAGAGAACTCTTTCCACATCCATTTGGCCCACAAATAAGAACATTTGCACCAGATTGCACCTGGAATATAAATCAAGACAGAATATATTGAAAGTTTCTCAAACACTAAAAACTACAGTATATGAATTACCTTCATAATGCATGAGATTCGCTTCATTAACTTGGGAACATATATTTGATTTGGCAAATATTTTCTAGGTATTCCTTTGAAACTCAAAAGCATTCAAAAGCATTCAAACCTTGAAGTGTTTATAAAATTTGGTAGAAATTAAAAACCTACATGCAAATTTTCGGCTCACTACGGGGCGGACCTGTTTTTTTTTTTAAGTACTAAAAGGTTCAGTTAAATTGACAGGTTTTTTGAAATAATCTGAACTAGACTGTTTTATCAAAATAAAATGCAAGATTCTGATATTGTAGCCTGTGTCAATCAAGTATAGTTCTGATCTTCCTGCAGAGTGATTTCTGATCTGGTCTACCTTAAAGGCCATCCCTCTGGCTACTTATTTGTGGAATGCCACAGAGATTGGTCCTCTCTCTCCCCTACTCTTTATCATTTATATGAAGCCACTGGGAGAAGTCCTGAAATGACTTGGGGTGCTGATGATACAAAGTTATACGCTGCCACCCAAGTCTGAAATGGACTCCATCAACTGTGGAGTTCTTTTTTCTTTGTCTCGAAGCTATAAGCATCTGGATAGGACAAAACAGGCTGTACTAAAACCCTCGTAAGGCAATCTTGGAGCTACACAAAAAATATTATGGAATGGATATTCTGGTGTATATTATAACTATCTAATGGGGAAAAAAACCAGCCTGATTAATGTATTGTTTCAAATTCCTATATTTGTGTTGACTAGGTCCATGGAGAATAGCAATCTGTTTGTCAAATTTCTCCTGGTTTCCATGTGTACAGCATGATTATTAATAGGTTTCTGCAAATATTTAGCATTATGCATACAGAAGATGGGAAAACTACTTACAGCCTACCTGGGTTAGCTCCCCTCTTAAAGTTTCTCATATAGAAATCTTTCCTTTTTCTGCCTCTTGGCATTTCCCCCCAAATTTAAAAAAAACATTCTTGATTGTCTGTGGAAGGGCCCTATACTGAGAAGGAGACATTGCTCAAAATTGGGTAGATTTCACTGACCAAAATACCTCCACTAATTTTGGATAGTTTTTCACTTAATCTCCCTCACTTTGTTCTGAAATAATCTTCCAAAGACAATGCTTTGGGATGGGAAGAGGAACAAAACAGATTTTTATTTTTATTCAGCGAATTATTTCAAGATAAAATTGTGAATGTTGCAAGGTACCTCAAAGTTGAGATCTTTAATCAGCATATCGCCATTTGGTGTGGCCAATGGAACATGATCAAATCTTCAAGGAAAATAGACATATCACCATTAATTATTAAAGATATTACCATTCACAAAAAAAACCGAATTAATAAACTAATTAGTAAACTGTCTACTAAATTTACTAGTGATTTACTGAGAGAGAGTAACATTTTCAAAGTGCCTGCAACATAAGCTATGCCACAAAATAAGCGTTAAGTGCAAAAAAACAATGAGTTTTTAAAGTCAAATAAGGGGAAATATATGAAAATCTACGAAGTTGAAAATATAAATACTTTTATGTTTCACAGTCATTAACCTCTGTCCCTCTTTTTTAATATTTGTAGATGCTATTTCTTTTCAAAAATGATACGGGTGTTCGTCAAGTTACAACCATTTGTTCAGTGACTGTTCAAAGTTACAGGTGAATGATACACCTTGTTCCTGAAGCTACGGCTGTTGCGGCACCCCTGCAGCCAAGTGACCAAAATTCAGGTGGTTGGCAGCCCATCTGCACTTACAATCACAGGGATGCTTCAATTTCCCCCACCCATCTTTACCACCTGTGTCAGAACCTAGAGGGGGTTCCTTCTAAGCCTCTTACTCTGCAGATGTGGGTAATGCTGTCATTGTTCCCTAGGCAGCCTCTGTTTGTCCTGTCTCCCAAGCTCTTTCCCACATACCCTATTACACCTTGTCAGAAGTGGGAACAAAGAAACAGTAAAGTTTAGCTGGGGCAGTGGGAAGCAGGATGGCAGGGGCCTCAGAGGAGAGAGCAACAAGGGCAGCTGGTGTTGGGGCAGCTGTAACTTCTTGAGATGGCTGGGGTTTCCCATTGTGATGGTTGTAGCTTCCTGGGGCAACTGCAGCTTTGTGCTGGGGGTCAGGACTCCTTGCAGCTCCAGAGCTGTGGCAAGCCAAGAAGCTCCTGAGCTGCAATGTGGCCAGCAACCTCTAGGCTGTGCAGTTTTTGGGCTGCTTGCCACCAAGCCAAGAGTGATTTGCACTGGGGATGGGTCCTCAGCTAAAGATGAGTGGAATTCGGTTCACAATTGCAATTGGGGCTGCCAGGATTGCTATCGCTAAGCAATGCAATCACATGATATCAAGCTTTATAATTGCACTGCTTAACGGTGGAAATTCCAGTTCCAATTGCCATCATAACTCAAGGCTACTTGTACATAAAAGAGAGCTAAAGGTGGAAATGTGTTGATGTTGACCGTTTCCTTTCGAAAGTTTGGATATGTATGAACAGTAACAGTTCAATAACTTTTTGACTGCTGTTTAATAAAGCCTGCTTTATATATTTACTTTACTGCAACTCTCTCCCACAAAGCTTCTTGTAGATCCAAGAGATGGCAATAGTTCTTGACAGTTGGAGTAAAACGTTGATCCATGTAAAACTGCTGTCTTAAATCAATCAAGTCAAATGGCTAGATAATTCTGCCAACTGAACAAGTAGTGGCTTGTGATACTCATTCATTAAACATTTCAAATGTACTGCTGTTTGCTTTTTAACTTAATTCATTGAATCCCATGCAGATGACACAAGCTCCAAGATCTGCGGAAGCATGTCCATACAGAGGCCTACATGATTAGGTTGGTTTTCTCCATTCAGAAGACCACAATTGGGGGTGGGGAAGAGGAAAAAAAATGGCATTGGCAGGAAGCAATTGTAGACATGGTCTCACAGCTGCTTCTTGTACAGCTTACTCTTCTGGGTAAGAGGCATGTGCAGAGATCTACCACAAATGTATTTAGATATAGCATGGATAGGTATGCAAAAATGAAAAAGATTAATGGGACACCCTAATAAGAAATGAGGGATTTTACCTACTTGATAATGTTATCTGTTATGACAATCTGTCCTGTACCAGGGATCAACGGGGTAGCTTGCTTTAGATCTAATTCTTAAATTAAAAACAAACAAACAAACAAGTAATCAATAGCAAGGTTATTATGTGTTTTTGTATTAATTCCTTAATCAACATCAGAGCATCATAGTTACCTTTGTCTTGTGTTAGCATGGTTCGTTGATATTTCCCACTGTTTAGTTCCTTCAGAACTTGCATTAATTCTGTAATTCGAGCTGTGAAGCTAAAGATTATAAATCTATTAAACTGACAGACTTCAAGAATTTTTCTTCAAAACAGAATGTTCATCAAAAATAAACCAAATCGACAGTTTAAAATAGGAAGCAAAATAATACATATCACGAGTGCATATTATAATTATTTAGAAAGTACTTTTTTTCTGTAAATGATGCTCCAAGCTTTGTTTAAATAGGTACTTCATGTTTAATATTTCAAAATGATCAAATTAATCTCAGTTATCTCACAATTAGAAATTAATATGGATTTGGGGTTAACAAGGAGGATAAAATAAATTTATTTTATGAATGAAAATATTGGTCAATCTAATTGTTGGGAAACTGTTGGCCAGGCTGGAAGGAGGAGTCAAGTGAGGGTCTAGCCAAACTTGACCTCCTTCAAGATCCATAAAGCCTTATCTGATTGTTCTGAGGAAAGTGAGCAGTCTGGGGAGATTCTTGTAACACAGGTAGAAGTCAATAAAATTGTTTACTTTAACTATTTATGGGTGGCTCTGGTTGCTTATACTTGACACTTACCCAGCCAATCGAGTCATTTCACGACCAGCTAGAACTATTCTGCCAAGGGCTTGAGACATTCTCAGTAGCATTCTTCCACTTTGGTAGTAATCCTTAAAACAATGAAATATAGTTTTTTTCTCGCAAAAACGAACAAGCAACATGTGTGTCATTTATTATAACTACTGCAGCAAATATATTACTCACCTCCAAAAGTTCAGCATGGGTACTATTCTGATGACGAGGATGAGACAAGTTTAGAAATGGGTGGCTAACAACTAAATAGCCAACTACGGTTGCAAGATCTAAAACATTTGAAGGAGAAAAAAAAGTATTTTTTAATTCCATGTCATTATTTTAAATGTGGCTTGATCCAACATTCAGACAGCAATTTAATGAAACACTGTTTTATTCTTTTCAGTTTAATACAGGAAGTCCTTGTTTAGCAACCACAATTAGCGAGTCCGGGTTGCTAAACGGTAAATTGTGTGACCGCAACTGGGATTTCAGGCTTGAAATTGACAATGAAACTGACAAGGCTGATCAGTTTTTGTTTGCCTCTTAACCATTCCCCAGACCTTTGGAATGCTGACTCCAGCACAAAGGAATTGATATTTGCATTTATATTCACTGGAGAAGAAGGGAATGCAAGACAGTATAGGAGCCCTTGCGTAATGACCACAATTGAGTGCAAAATTTTGATCATAAATCATTGTGGTCATTAAGTATGTGCCAATGTAACCTGATTCAATTTTAGAACCATTTTACAATGATTGTAAAGTAAGCCACAATGGTCATTAACCAAATCACATGACCATTAAGCGAACCGAGAGGTTAAACGAATCCAGCATACGCAATATGTGGTTTTTGCCATTTTCTGCTGCAAAATGTCGAGCTGGCTGTGCCTCCTGGGCCACGCCTGGTCTACTGTGACCACTCCAGCCATACCCCTCCCCACCCGGCCCCCAGAGGTCAACCACAGTGTTGATCTGGCTCTCAATGAAATCAAGTTTGACACCCCTGGTCCAGGGTCAACAAAATGCGAATAAAATTCTGCTATAAAACCTTTCCTTCTGCCCAAGGTTGGGGAAACTCCTTAAATGGTAAAGTAATCAAAAGGGAGAGGCTGGTATTTAAAAATCAGAAAGGAGATACTGGCCCTATCGAATTTTACATGGCAAAATGCCTGTCTTGGGGAAAGTACTATTAAGTTCTATAACCGGGGGTGGGGGGGTGGGGAGGGGGGAGGAGATAGAGAGAGAGAGAGAGAGGGAGGGAGAGATGTAATTAGATAAAGTGTCTCAGACATGACCGTCCTTAGTTCTCATGAAAAGGAAGGAAGGAAGGAAGGAAGGAAGGAAGGAAGGAAGGAAGGAAGGAAGGAAGGAAGGAAGGACTGAACACTTACATTTAGCAATAATGGTGTCTATGAAGCCCATTGTAAACCGGAACAAAATGAAATTGTGCAAGTGCTCTACCTAGGGCAATGAAAAATAGGAAAGTTATGTCAATACATTTTATACATGGTATTTAAATGATGCATTAAAAATAGATTGTGTCTCAGTCTTTCTTAAGATGTATTTATTTTATTTGGGGGGGGGGAGAAAAATGTTGCATTCTACAATATACAGGAGGGAACTGTAAGAGGCAGGCCACTTTTGGCAACCTCTTTTGTTGTGTTTTTTAAAAAATAAGCCACAATTTTCGGAAAACATATAGTTGATTTTATTGCTATAGTATATTTTAAAAATTGTTATAATTTCAAGATAACCTTTTTATTCACTATTTAATCAAATTTATGTATTTTTATATTAGATGTCCGTGGATGAGGGAATCATGATCCTTTTGAGGCAATGACAATCACTGTGTATTGTTGAGCGTGCCCAAAAATAAAAATTAAAAAAAATGATTTTAAAAAAACTCATGATTATCTCATGCAAGAATAGTAATCTTATGAAATTTGGTTCATTTTGTATAATTTCACTGCATATGCCTCTCAGTTGGTATCATGCAGGCAATAAATAGCACATTGGCTTACAAAGTAGTCTCTACATTAAAGATCTTAGCTTGCATAGAACAGCATGAGCTTGCTTAAGTAAAATAGCACTTTGGTTGATTTGGTGCCAAATCCTATATGAAAAAGTTTTAGAAGAGATATTAATCTCCCATTTAGATGAACAGAAAGTGGATATAAGGAAAGAGAATGAGAAAATTGTTTGGAAGAGTGTGAAATGATGTATGCTACAAAGTACCACAAAAATATGTGGAGTTATGAGAAGTCTGTGAAAAGATACTGTACTTGGTGGAATGTTGATGAAAAATGCTACAGGTGAGGAAAAAATCGTTACTACAGAACAGTGATGGCTAACCTTTTCTGGACCGAGTGCCCAAAGCGTGCACGCGCAAACCCCCAAAATGCAATGCACATGCAGCCCCCGCGCATGCGCTCCGACCCCCTGCATGCCCCCTGCCCCCCACGCATGCATGTCAGAGACCCGAAAACCAACTCGCCAGTGGGAGGCACGCACACATGCACGGCGGAGCTGAGCTGGAGAACAACTCGCATGCCCACAGAGAGAGTGTTGCGTGCCATAGGTTCACCATCACTGCTATAGAAGGACAGCAGCATGAGGACTAGAAAAAAACAGTGTGTGTGTGTGTATGTTTGTGTATGCTGCAAGAATGTGGTCAAAGAGAAAAATGAACAGTTAAGATTAAAAATGGCATAGAAAATGGAAAGCAATTTTGAAATACATGCACGTATATACGTCTTAAAAAAGAATAACAGAAACTGTATCCAATATGTGGATGCGTTATGTTGATGACTCCCAAGAATAAACTACGCAAATAGGTAAAGACAGGTAAAGCTCTTTTAATGTCACATCTGTTAGAAAACCTGTGGCACATTAGCAATTAAACTTGAATTGTGATATGACTTTTCAGAGGCAAAAGTCTGCAACGTGAAATAGGTTTTTGCCTTTTCAACTTCATATATCAAATTTATTAAGCTTTAACAATAAGATTTGTTTTGCCTCTGATAGGGCTTCAACTTATTCACAATTAAAAAAGTGAAATTATACTTATAATGCAATATGGAAAACTAAAAAAGTGAACTAATGGTGAGGAAAAAAAGACTTTGGTGCTTGTAAAAGTCAAATACATTTTTTTAAAAAAAATTCCACATCCAGGATCAACAAAGCTCACTGATTCTGAAGTCACTGGGTCTAAAGCAGGGGTGAAATCTATTTTTTTCCCCTACCAGTTCTGTGGGTGTAGCTCGGTGGGCATGGCAGGGGAAGAATACTGCAAAAACTCCATTCCCACCCCACTCCAGGAGAAGGATACTGTAAAATACCCATTCCCTCCCCACTCCTGGGGAAAGGATATTGCAAAATCTCCATTCCCACTCCACTCTGGGGCCAGCCAGAGGTGGCACTTGCCGGTTCTCCGAACTACTCAAAATTTCCACTACTGATTTTTCAGAACCTGTCAGAACCTGCTGGATTTCACCCCTGGTCTAAAGGGAGATTTAAATCAAACTTAAGGAAAAATAAAAGATATAAAGACTGAGACGGGAAGAAGGTGATAAGCAAGTTTGGCAAGATTTTTGGAGAATGGATATAATCAAATTGAATCAAATCAAATTGAAGGAAACAAAATCCTTACTACGACTAAAGCATTTAGGAGGCCAATTTATAGAAAAGGCTAATATGCTCCAATCATGTCCCCTCCTTTTTAACTATATCATTTGTCAGTACCCATAGTCCTTAGGCATTGCTTTGAAAAAAATATATAGTGTCTTTCACCTATTGCTTTTCACTTTTCATTAAGTGATCGTCTCATGCAGATATCCCTCTAACACAGAAGTCTTTCATAATCTTTAACATCACTGCACCAAATGTTGTGGATTGTTTACATTACCGAATGGTTTGAAGCTAACTTACCAATTTGTGAAAAGCTTTGTGAATTGTCTGTTTTTCCCTTTGATTCCCATTATAAAATGCAATTTCCTCACTGTAGGGAAAAAAAAAGGTCTAATCAGCACATATTGGCAAGCAAGATCAAACTAAGCAGCAGGAGAATGAGGTGGGGTTGTCTATAGGCGATAAAAGTGTAATGGCACCTGCTGTTTCAGACAACTGGTTGGAAGTCATAATTTTAAATGCTCCCTCAATTTCTTTCCCTGCTTACTACACATGTTTTAATCTTGCCCTGCAACACAGAATCATACTGGCTGTTTCAACATTTCATGATTTTCAATTTCCCACATGTCTGGACCAGATCTTGAAACTAGTCTTGCAACTAGTGAAAGCTTGCTGCAACAACAAAAATAGCAAAATGTTCTTATTTAAATGACCAAGCAAAATAACTCAGAGTATATTCATTCTTAAATTCTTAGTTAAAGCCATACTCTTGGTTCTGTAACAGAATAACAATAACTACTCCTGATTTTCACTGCTTTAGCAGTAAAGTTCACATTACGTTCACAACACAGCACTATTAACTTCATTTATTTTAATAAAATGGGTATTTTAATTTTTTTTTAAGTAAAGAAACCAACTATCTTAGGACATGCTTCCTATAACAAATTAAATTGCACCAAAACAAATTATGACAAATCAAACAAACATCTTATTCATTCAGTTTTCAGATGAAAATCGTTTGTTTTCATTCTTCAGCAACCAATATAGAGGTTTAACATGAAACATTTTAAAAGATTTTTTTTAAAATAAATAACAACATAAAGGACTTGATTTAGCTTATAATATTTGGCCTAATGAACATTAATTTGTCCTGAAACTATGTCATACCTGTTTGTAATGAGCCGTGAATTGACGTATCTATACTCGCCTTCGTATTTTTGTTCTGTAACTGTCATCTTACCAATAGGTCTTCTTAAGCGTGTAAGGATAAAGCCTGAAAAAATCAAGTAGGCCATCATGGAAGCAGGGCCCTGAAAATATCAAAAAATAAAATAAGACACAACTTCCAAAATAAATCTATTAACAATATTTTCTTTTTCAAAAAGGATGCATCTAGCAATCCGTTGGTGCAGAGGCTGGTTACAAGGAAAGGTATCACCTGACTACAGGTTAGAAGTTACTTCCAACTGCAGAAAAATGTAATCGATCTTAAAGTAAGGCCTGCCAATTCTGAAATTAAATAACACTTAATTATTTTTATAAATGACAGCAGGTTCCAAATATAACAACATTTGCTTCTGAGTAAATACTTATATGGTATTGCATATGTCAAGGTGCCTTCCGCCGTGCCCTTAAAACCTTCTTTTTCCAGCAAGCCGGGCTGGCCTAACATTTTAAAAAATGTTTTTGATTGTTTGTTATTGTTTTTAATCATGGGGCCAAATTTATATATATATATTAATTGTATTTTAATGTTTGTAGTTTATGTTTTTACTTGGCTGTTCACCGCCCTGAGTCCTCAGGGAGAAGGCTTATTAATACACCCGTTTCTATTACAAAAAATGTGTGCAGGGATGTGGGCATGCATGTCTGTATGTGTTTGTCTCTGTGTTGACGCCTGGTCACAGCCTGGATAAGTCCCTGCAATTTTTGGGGGCAAGATTTCAGAAATGTATTGCCATTGCCTACTTTCTAGATCTTAGAGAGCATGACTGGCACAAGATTACCCAGCTGGCTTTCATGCATAAAGTGGAACTAAAATTCACAGTCTCCATATTACTAGTTTGGTGCCTTAACCACTACACCAAACTGGCTCTCTACAAGAATTTTAATGTATGTAAAATTCTTAAAACTCTGAATGATCTTATCTTTCTGCCTATTACATTATCAAGATATTGTTAAAAGAATATCCCACATTATATTTACCATCTGTTTATAGAACTCTGGTGGCTCAGCAGACTAAAGCACTGTTATTAACATCCACTTATATCTGCTGCCTGCAATTACTGCAAGTTCAAATCTCACCAGGCTCAAGATTGACTCAGCCTTCCATCCTTTCTAAGGTAGGTAAAATGAGGACCCAGATTATGGGGGCAATAAGCTGACTTTGTATAAATATACAAAAGTATGAAGGCTATTGCTTAACACATTGTAAGCTGCCCTGAGTCTCCGGAGAAGGGCGGCATATAAATCAAATTAAAAAAAAAAAGTATGTAGCACACATTTGACAAATTATAATGGTAGAAAATTCTAAATTTCTTGTTGTTTTACTTCCAAATACTTCTGTTTTTACTTTACTTTTTACTTTTATTTGATTTGTATACCGCCCTACTCCTGAAGGACTCTGGGCGGTGAACAGCCAACAATAAAATACATACATACAAAATTTAAAAAAGCAGAAATAAAATCGAATTAAATAGTTTGGCCCAGACAGATTCTCAATATTACATTATAGAAAATTCTCAATAATTCATCTCTCCTATTGGAGAGTATATAATTCATATTTAAAGTGCATAAATAAAAATAAAATTTTACCTGTGCTCCTATTGCACTTGTTAGTTTGAAGATGTATAGAACAATATCCAAAAATGGCTGCAAAATAAGATTTAATTGTAAATATTGGGTCATGGGAGAAAGCATGCCATATGAATTTTTATTTAAAAGGACCCTTTTACAAAGAAGATATCAGGTTTTTCGAATAAACATAGCTAAAATGTCTCATCTTAGGCTCTCAAAGGCTATGTGAACATTCTGAGTCAATTTTAAAAAACTAAAAACCTGTATTAAAAAAATTCTTACAATATAAATCAGTTTCTCAAGAATTTTTACTTTGTCTACTGTTCAACAATTACTTAACTGCAAGAAAAATCTCTAATTCAGCAGTTTTTCAGTTTCATGCTGAGAACGAATATTTAAATTGCTACTATGTAAATTATATTTAAACATGCAGATGACAACATAATCACTTTTTTTCTTCACACTTACCTTGCTGAGGTTTGAATATAGGTCCACTACACTGTTACAAAATTTTTCAACATCTTGTGTAAGTAGTTGATCAGGATTGCCTATTCTGTTGTCTAGATTGCCCATTTTGTAGAATGTGAAACTCCTAAAATGTCAGGAAATCAGTAATATAACATAGCAGTTTCACTGAATGATTAATTACAATTATATTTATTTATTAAAAATGTTGCCAGCCCTCCCACTGCAAGGCGACTCTGGGCTGCTTACAAGGTTAAAAAAAAAATAAAACTATACATATACATCTATACTTGTGTGGATAGACAGACAGACAGACAATAATTAAAATTATGGTAAAAAGATGGAGAGGGAGAAAATAAAAACTGCAGGGGTGAGGTGGGATCTGCTATGAGTCCATCAACCACCTCCAGTTTGATACTCCCCACTGGAACAAGACAGACCCTCAGGTAACCTGAATCCATGCCATGCAGGGCTTTAAAGATGATAACCAACACCTTGAATTGCACCTGGAAGCAAATCAGTAGCTCGCGGAACAGCAGTGTGACATGGACCACTCTAGCGGCCCTTAAGACACACTCTGCTGAATGCTCCTTAAGGGTAGACCCATGTACAGTACATTGCAGTAGGCCAGATGTGAGATGACCAGGACTTGAATGACAGAATGCAGGGGCTCTTGAACCAGGAAAGGCTGCAATTGGCACACAACCTGAAATTGTGCAAAGGCTGCCCTAGCCACAACTGCCACCTGCTCATGAATCCATGAGAACCCCCAAGTTGCGAACCAGGTCTCTATGGGGTAGTGCCACCCCATCCAAACTAAAGATGTCAAAGTCTGAGATCTTGAAGCTCCACACTCCCAAAGCCATTCAGTCTTGTCAGAGTTCAATTGAAGTCTGTTGTCCCTCATCCAGGCCTCGAAAGCCTGGCAGAAACAGCATCACTCGGGTCACCAGGGATGAAGATACCTCAAAGTACTGATGATACCTCAACCCATGGTGATGAATGATTTCGCTTGGTGGCTTCATGTAGATGTTTAAAAAGAGAGACAAAAGTAACAAACCCTGTAGCAGGCCACAGGCTGTGAGCTGGATCTCTCACTCCCTCACGCTTCACGATTGAGACCTGGTCTTGGATAAAGGAGTCAAACCAGCACAAGACTCTGCTGCCCAGCATCAAACCCCACAGCCGACCCAAAAAGATATCATGGTCAATAGTATTGAAGGCTGCTGAGAGGTCAAGGAGATCAAGAATGATTAAATTACTCCCATTCCACTCTTGCCAGAGATCATGCACAAGTGCAACCAAGGCTGTTTCTGTCCCTTAATTGGGCCTAAATCCTGACTGAAAGGGGTCCAGATAAACTGTTTCATCCAGCATCCTTTGAAGCTGCCAAACAGCCATTTTTTCTATCACCTTCCCTAAGAAGGGAAGATGGGAAAATGGACCAAAATTATCCAGGCAGGTGGGATCTTGCAAGGATCATGCAAGGAGGCAAGGTGAACAAGGGCCTCCTTATACATTAAATTATACATTACAATTTATATTAACTTTAAAGGAGTAGAGTTTATTTAATTTTAATCTAAATGTAATGTTAAAAACAAAAAAAAATCACTTACTGTAGGTACTGATCATAAAGATACTTGGTAAGTCGGACACGGAAACACAACTTAAGTTCATTTAGTCCATATTTCAAGAAGTTATTCACTAGGGAAATCTATAAATAAGAACATATCAATAAAAACACATAATCTAATGTGCTTAAAGCCCACCACCACTTTCGATCCCAACAGATGGCAATCTAAAATCCAATTTAAGAGTACAACCCACATAGAATTCATCTGCAAACCTAGAAATGTTTATTTGGGAAATAAGCCCCAATAAACTGAATGCAATGTAAACCTGCATAGGATTGTGCTGTAATCAGTATTTTTTTAAAAAAAAAAACTTCATGAAGAAATACATGCTTAGATACAAGGGACCAAGAGGAAGCTTGAAGTGTAATAGTACTTGCTACTCTGTGAACTGTTTTACCAGATAGTGACAGTTTCTCAGGGCACAATATCACAATATACTGGGGATGATATAAATTACAGCATGTTGGTGAGTAATCTTTTATCTGTAAGAACCACATATTGATACCACAAAAGAAATAGAAAGCAGTAGCAGTGGAGGGGGCTTTGTGTGAATCAGGAACTTCTAATTCTTTCTTTGATTCTGAAAGCTTTTTGGTTTTTTCCTCATTTCTATGCTAGGACTTGTTCTGCTGGCTTTTCTACACACACAAAAAAGCTTTAACATGCTAATATCTTACTACACAGGTCTCAACTATCTACAGCAGAGGTGTCAAACTCAATTTCATTGAGGGCCGCAACAGAGCTGTGGTTGACCTTGGGGGGCTGGGCGTGCATGGCCGACTTGGTGGGTGTGGCCAACTGGCTGGGCGTGGCCAACTCGGAGGCATGGCCAGCTTGACGTCACTCCCCAAACTGCTGGCCTGATCTTTCCTCTTTGCATTGGGTAGATAGACCGGGATGAAGCTACGCTGGCCTGATCTTTCCTCTTCACATTGGGTAGGCCAGGATGGCCCCGCAGGGCCAGATCTGACCACATCGCAGGCCAGATCTGACCACATCATGGGCTGGATCCAGACCATGGGCCTTGACTTTGATACCCCTGATCAGGGGTGAAATCTAAAATTTTTCCCTACCGGTTCTGTGGGCATGGCTTGGTGGGGAGGTGTCCTGTGACTGAGTGGGCATGGCCAACTCGATGTCACTCATAGCCACGCCCACTCAGTCACAAGACCCCCTCCCATCAAGCCACGCTCACAGAACTGGTAGAGAAAAATTTTTAAATTTCTATTTTGCCGGCATGTCCTTACTTTTCTCCTGTGGCTCCGCCCACCCGTCCATTCCCCAGAGTCGGGGAATGCACCATTCCCCGACTCCGGCCTTGCTGCGAAGCCGCTGCCTGCTCGCCCTTCGCCATGTGGCTCCGCCCGCCTGCCCCATTCCCCGGAGTCGGGGAATGCACCATTCCCCGACTCCTACTGCTCACCTTTCTCCTGCAGCTTGGTGTCAGGGAAGGCAAGCGCCCGAAAGATAGCGGAGTCGCTATCCTTGAATGAGCCGCTCTGGTTCACGTGCCGGCTGTGCAAGCGCACACCCAACCTGCCGCTGAATTAAATAAATGGTGCGCGCTTGCGCAGCCAGTGCATGGACCAGAGTGACTCATTCAAGAAGGAGAGTGAGTGACTCCAGTAACTTTCGGGCGCTTGCCTTCCCTGACAGCCAGCTGCGGGAGGTGAGCAGTAGGATACACCGCGTGGGCGAAGGGCGAGCAGGCAGTGGCTCCGCGGCAAGGCCGGAGTCGGGGAATGGTGCATTCCCCGACTCCAGGGAATGGGGCGGGTGAGCGGAGCCTCCAGCTGCCATTGCTACTGGTTCTCCGAACCACCAGCCATTATCGCTACCTACTCGCCCGAGCCAGTCCGAACCAGGAGCATTTCACCCCTGCCCCTGATCTACAGTAAGGATTCCACCTACCTAACCATTTGATATGTTCTTCCTGGAAGAAGCTTTTGCACATACCCCACTTTTATAAGTAAGGAGAATGGAGGTCACGGGGTCCTACTTCTCTGGCTTTGTGAAATGGTCTTCCCTTGGAAATAAGACCAACATTACCCTTCTATCCTTCTTCACATTCTGAACTCTTCCCCAGAATGTATAGGGACTGGTTAAACTGCTTCAATTCCCTTTAACTTGTATTTCATGTTTATCTTACATTTTGATTGTGCTATTATTTTCCCTATTGTCTACATATCCCAGGTCCTTGGTAAGGACTCGACAGGCAGACAAAAATGCCAAATCCAGTCTGAGCACCTGGCTGAAATCGGGATGAACCATAATGATATTATTAACGTTTACAACTTTTATTTTAATATTTACTGTGGCAGTTTTATTTGGCTGTATATTTTACTGCATTGCTACTAAAATTGTTTACACTTGCTATATGATGAGGAGTCATGATGAAGGGGGAAGTCTTTTTCTTTCCCTCTCTTTACTATATGTTCTTATTTTTTTCATTTTAAAATATTTTTATTTTATTTTTTATTGTTGTATTAATTTTTTATTGCATTGTACTAAATTTTGTATATTGCATTGTATTAAATTTTTATCTAACTTACAATTTTTAATAAAATCACTATATAGAAAAAGAGGAACTTGGATTGGGGAATCATTTTTCTCATGTCATATCCCTTTTAACAGAGAGGAAAAGAATTGGCCAAGAGTCAATTGGCCAAGAATCTTGAACTCAGATACTTCTGAATTTGATTATGGGTATCAGACAATTATTTATGCCACCAGGCTTAGTTTCCTACCTACCACATTCTGCCCTATCACAAATCAAATACATTTGTGCTCATATCTACCCTTGCTCTTACTTTGATGTAGAGCAAAAAAAACCCCATTTAAAAAAAAAATCCTCTCTTGTATAAAACACTTCCCCATCAATCTGGAAGAGGAGCTGTTCCATTAATGAGGTGAGAAACTACAATTTTGTTAATGATAAGGAGGAAAAACTACACCAAGATTGTATCTTGTGTACTTTGATTCAAAATCAAAACGGAATGAGCTGTTTATCAACTTTTAAATATTTTTTTTGCACTGTTAAATACAAACTTTCCCTACGCTCTTATACTCTGGACACAGAATATTTCATTCCTCCCATTTCATTGTAGTTGGAGTGACATTAAAGAAATCTTTCGCATTAAGATCAAGGGTAGGTAACTTGGAGCACTGCAAATAGTTTGAATGAGAGTTTTCATAACATTGTGCCATGGGTCGTACTAGCTTCGCTTGATAATATTGTAGACCTAACTTCTACAATAATATAGTGAGCGCATAATTAAAGTGGGGGGGGGGGGGAAATGAAATACTGCAACCCCATAAACCTTTTCAGGGTAATAAATTTCATGGGAGTCCAAGTGGTCAAATGTTACTGGAAAAGTTGTGACTGAATACCTATTCATTTTACCCCAAAGAGGTCAAGAACAAAAAAGCACCACTTACAGCAGGCATGGCAGCGATGAAGTTGAACAAGTACCTCTTGAAATCTTTTCTACTGCGGCCAATGATAGCACTGCAAACCACCACATGCACAAGATTAGTGGCAGAAGCAAGAAGACCCATCCCATAATATTTCCACAAGGACAGGTGGAAAGTCGTGAAAACGAACACAAGAAAAGGTCAACAAAAGAAGCAGCAAGACTCTCTTTACACCATATCAACATTCAGATGTGCTCCCACAACTGTGGTCAAAGCGACAACTGAATCAGTGAAAGCCATCACCTCTTTTTTTGACCCTTGGTGAAAGCCATCACTTCTTTTTTGACCCTTGGTGAAAGCCATCACCTCCCTTGCTACCCTTCACACTAATGGAACTGATTTTACAGGCGGTGGTGGGTTTTAAACTTCCACATACTGTTGCCCATCTCCTTGAAGACACCACACTACAAAGAAAGCTATTGCCAAACAAGCCTATTGTTAAATCCCATGCCTCCATAATGCCTGGTTATTAATCTACACTTCCATCCTGACGTCACTAAGATATGTATTTTCCGCTGGCATCGGCATTTCTGCTGGCATCGGGATATGGGATAAGTTAGCTCTTCCACAGGAGAAAGCATGGGCTGCCATTCTAAAAGGCAGTCCTGTACTTTTTGTAAAAAATAATTTTAAAAAACCTATATAATATATTATATTATAGCAGCAAGTGCAAAAATTTTAATAAATAGGATTCAAATTGGATAAAAGCCAACATAGAAATACATATAGAGAAAAAAAAAACAAGAGCTGGACAAGGAATAAAAAATTATATTCAGGAAGGTGAAGAATTTGGTAGGAAAAAAAATAATACTAATGGTTTAGAAACATAGCAGGAAGAAATCTGACTACAATGATCAGCTATGTTTCTTAGTGTGCTCATCCTCAACTTCCAGAATTCTCGGTCAGCATGGCCAAAGCTGGAAACCACACTCCCAATACACTGACTGGGAATTACATTAAAAGCAATCTGGACCAAGATTCAAGGTGGCATTAGTGGCAACTGAGACTGTTAACCTACTAAGTGGTTGTCTTTGGAGTAGCAGAAAACAACAGTGAAAGTCACCAGCACCATACTGTATAATTTGTAAGAATACAAATTATACAGTTTGCTTCAAATTGTTTTGAAGCAATTAATAAAGCTTTAGAAAGACTATGGAGTATACAATTTAGCTGATATTATTTAAACTAAATATCTCTGAAGTCAAAAACCACTGGGGAAAAGAAGCAATTGTTTCATTTATGCATCAGTTATGAGCATAAACATTGTAGATACATGCTAATATTTATGTCTCTTTACCAGTGGAATGGAAACTACAAATTTAAGAAAGAAATTCTTGAATAGCGACAGATTCCTGCTAACGATTGCACTGAAAGAAAAAAAAATGTACAGAATTTAACATTTTTATTTCTGACTAGGTAAAATAATAATTATATACTTTTATTGTACAAAGTGTAATGGATAATTACTGCAGGTAGTCCTCGACTTACGACCACAATTGAGCCCAGAATTTATGTTGCTAAGTGAGAAATTTGTTAAGTGAGTTTTGCCTCTGACTTTTCTTGCCACATTTCTTAAGTGAATCACTTCTGTTTCTAAAATTAGTAACATGGTTGTTAAATGAACCTGGCTTCTCCATTGACTTTGCTTGTTAGAAGGTCACAAAAGGTGAATACATGACCCCGGAACACTGCAACGGTCATAAATATGAACCAGTTCTCAAGCATCCAAATTAAATCATGCGACCATGGGGATGCTGCAACGGTCATAAGTGTGAAAAATGGTCATAAGTCACTTTTTTCAGTGCCGTTGTAACTTCGAACGGTCACTAAATGAACTGTTGTAAGCTGAGGACTACCTGTACTACAGAAGTCTAATAAACAACATTCCTGAATAGATGTCAAAAATTGTAAGGTAAAAAGAACAGCCATCTGTTACATTTCATAGAATACAGGATTATTGCATGAATGTCAAAATGGAAAGCTTAAAATAAATTCCTCTCCATAAGATTTGTTTAAAATTGAGTCTTGATGCTTAGAGCAAAACTCTTTGATATTGAAGAGTATTCATGGTTTAGATCGGGGTGGGCAAATGTGGCTCTTTTACAACCTGTGGCCTTCAACTCCCAGAATTCTTGAGCCAGCTTGGCTGTCTCAGGAATTCTGGGAGTTGAAGTCCACAGGTTGTAAAAGAGCCACATTTGCCCACCCCTGGTTTAGATCATTTGTGCCTACAATACTACATTGTATTTATACTATATGCAACACGGGAATAAAGAATCATGTATTACCTTCCATAAAATAAACTCGTACGTATATGCGGTTGACTGACACACTTAAGTATGTTGAAATACCAACTTTAAAAACTCGCAGTCAACATAACTGATAGTCATGTGACTAGGGAATTTTGAGAGAGAAATCCCAACATATCTGGGATTTGGGAGAAAACTATGATTTTTGCACCTCTAAGAGGACACCAGTTGAGCAAGGCTAACCCTTAAACTATGGTTTTTACTTTTGTATGAGCCACACTGGTTAGTTTAAAAGTGGAAGTTTCTTCTCCAGGCAGCTCCAAGAGAGACTAATAGGGTAGAGGAGAGCCTGTGGCTTAACATGGCATGCTCCCTTAGAAAGAAGTTTTGATTTTGTATTGTACTTTATATTTATTTATATTTAGTCATGCACTGTGTTTCTAAAAATAGCAGTATTAGCTTCTGATATACGGTAACAAAGAATAATAATGGTAGGAAATTGGTTTGGAATATATAAATGACCCTTACCTCTCGATAACTGTTCCATTATGAATCATCCAGATGTCACAATATGTGCGAAGTACCAACATAATGGCAATAAGTATCAAATAACCTGTCTATTATAAGAAAGATAGAAACAATATTTAGAATTGTATTAATTTTAGGACCTCTGCACAGAAAGCATACAGATCTTTTCCAACCATAAAGAATCAGTACAAATTAGACTCTAAAATAAAGCTAATCTGTTCCAAATACGAAGTACAGATAGTCCTTGACTTACAACCAAAATAAGGACCAGAAGAAAAATCACTGTTAAGCAGTGTGGTCATTAAGTGAGACATGATGGGACTGAATCTGAGTTTACAATTTTTTTTACCACGGTCGTTAAGCGAATCACCTAACGTTGAGCAAGACATCATGTGACCATGACTTGCAACCCTCTATCAACTCCCCCGTTGGCTTCGCTTGTCGGAAGCCCGTTGGGAAGGTTACAAATGACAATCACATGACAGTAGGATACTGCAACTATCATAAAAGTGATTGAGTTTTTAAGAGTCTGGATTGTGACCATGTGAGTGCAGGGACTCTGCAAGAGTCGTAAGTGCAAGGACTGGTCATAAGTCACTTTTTTCAGTGCTGTTGCAATGGTCACTAAATTGACCACTACCTATGTACTAGAGATGCAGGGATTATTTTTGCTGCATCTCTTAGGTATTTATTGAGTGTTTTAGCATAGTTGTATACCGCCCAGGGTTACTAATAATATGAATGAGCAACTAGATTACAGCTATAGAAACTGGATCAATCAATCAATGCAACTCTAGGGAGTTGTATTCCAGTTGCTTATTCATATTATTTGGTATTCTAATTAGGCATTTCAAATTTGTGAAGATGTATAACTATAGGAATCTGGACACTACATTACAGGGAGGTAAGATGCCTAGTCTTGGAAACAGGCTAACGTAACATTAATACCTAAAGATGGTTAAGATTTAACTTCCACAAAAAACTATAGACCAATATAACTACTGAAGAGTGTTTATAAATTATTGGCAGCAATTTTGGCAAATAGACTGAAAATAATTCTACAAGAAATTATTTATGAAGGCCGATATTATATATATATATTTTAACCTAAATTACAAGTTAATGTCAGAATTGTATTGGACATTATAGGATATTTGGAAGAGCACAATGAAAACAAGCCTCATTAATTTTTTTTAGATGCAGAGAAAGCCTTTGACAATTTAAATTGATGCTTTTTGTTTAATGTTTTAGAAGATACAAACATTGGAGAGAAGTTTTATAAAATGGGTAAAATCAGTGTATACTTTACAGAATAAATAATTCTTAATGAGGACTTAAACCTTGTGAGGTAAGGAAATAAGATAAGGCTGCCCAATGCCCGTTATCCCCCCCTTTTTTTACTTTGGTTTTTGACATTATGAATAGACCTATAAGGCAAGATGAGAGGATAATGGGTATAAAAATGAAAAAAAGAAACTTTTGCAGATGATTTGGTGTTGGTGTTATGAAGTGATGTTGTTGTGACCCCGACTCCCAAGCCTGTCCTAACAGAGGAAGAGGACTCAGAAGGTGATGGGGAGGAACTGATAAGGCCTCCCTCTCCAGGACCCTCCTCTCTGGCAATGCCTCAGGTTCCATCCAAAGGCCAAGAGGAACAGCCTGGGATATGCCAGGAGGAAAGCATATCGGAACAACAACAGATAGGGAGTGAGGATGATGAATCCTGGCTTGATCCCAGGCAGCGTCGGAGGGAGAAGCGTGCGCAGCAACGAAAGAGGCGTGGGAGGACCAGAGATTGAGCTGAGTCACTGAGCCACACCCCACAAGGAATAAAAGTGGGTGTGATTGCTCTTCAGGCTTTGTGATGGTCAAAGTTAAAAACCTGAGAGTCACATCGCGTTACCTGAAATCTGGCTTGTGCATATTTGGATTGGACCTTGGCTAACTCTTGCTTCGTGGATTACTTTTTGCTACTGAACCGGACTGAGGATAAACTCTCTCTTGCTTACTGTGAGTGAAAACTGACTTGGCAGGCATTTTGCAGTTTACTGCCAAAACTCTTATCTGCAAGGGTTTCTAGTCTGATTGCTTAATAAAATCTTGGCAGGCGTGCCTGGTTGTGTGTTTGCCTATGTGGGGAAGGGGGACAAAACAGATGTTATAAAGTGATGTAAAGTGACATTTGTCACTGGACAAATTCTCTAAAACGTTTAAAAGTACCTCGATTATATGTTGGAAGTATGTACAACAAGAGAGGACTTTTTATTATGCTAAAAATTGGATTCAAGTACATATATTAATTCAGAAAAATTTAAAAATTAATATACAATTGAAATCAGAAACATGCCTTTTGGGACTGATGGACAAACAGATATTGATTAATTTTAATGCTGATTAGAAGCTCCTTCTGGACTTTTTTCAGAAACAGAAAAAAATGAAATTATGACATGGATTTGATGTTATAAAAATAGTAGATAACGGGAAAAAAGTTTCTTGTAAATTTAGACTGTGTTTAATGTAAATTTATATTTATATCTGTTGTAAAAGAAAGTCAGAAGTGATTTCTTTGATTTCTTTTTCTTTCTGTACTTTTAACTTTCTTTTCTTTTTCATTCTTTACTTTTTTCTCTTTTCTATCTTAATTTTTGTTAGTTTTTGTTAGTTTTTATCTTTTTATTTGGAAAATCTAATGAAGTTATTTTAAAAAAGGAATCAGGACTACAGTCAGCCTTTTTTTATACGTACTGTTATAAAAATTCAGGTAAATAATAGTTTCTCTCTCAGTTTCTAAGAAATTCTCATCTTGTTTCCTTTCTTTTCAATATAAATGCAAAGCAAAAAAAAATTAAAATAAGCAGAGTAAAAAATTATTGTAACTGTTATATATTAGAAAATTCCTGTTGCTACGGTCATGTTTAATACTGTATTATCTTCAATTTAGTTTAATTAGTTTTCAGTTCATTATCTGAATGATCAAGATAAAAAAAATCAAATTGGACTTTTGACGGGGTTGCACACTTTTTGTGTGTGTGTGTGTACAAAGTTTATTTGCATGCATACACTTTTTCGGGGCAAGCTGACTTCTAGTCCTAATATGATTGTTATACTTTAATCACGTCTCTCAGATGGCTGACTTGTAGAAAATTCAATGCAGCGAATTAATATAGCATACAGTACTGATATGAACGAAACATGCAAAATTGCTACAACTTCTAACACTATTTGTGTTTGTAAAAACAGGAACAACAGCTCAGCTTTAGGACGCAATTTGTATCTTTAACGAACAGAGTGGCAAATCTGCACTGTCTATCAAATAGACTTTGAAAAAGTTACAAACTTTATAAACAAGAGTGCCAGTCTAAAGAAAAATCCTAGAAACACATTACGTAGTACTTATTCATACCCACTGCGTTCTTCCATGGTGATGAGGCTTAATGCTATGAGCAGACTTGTTATTCCTGATTGCTGCTTTGGATTCTTTTAAGAACATCTACAGCAGTCAAACTACAGCATATGCTTTTCAATGTTTAACTAATTCAAGTTAATAAGAATAACCATCCACCAGATACTACATTAGTAAGTATAGGTTTAACATGGGCAATCATAAAAATGTTCAGGAGCCAGTTTGACATAAACAGCAATTGCAAATTACTAAATTTTCAGTCTTCAATTGAGTGAAATGAACAGCCTTTGTGTTGAATTGGCATTCTAGAGATTGCAGCCAAAATACATCTGAAAGACCACAAGCTAGTAAGGTTTCATAACAAAAGATTTAGACTGGTTATTCTCTATTTGCAACTTACCTCTTTACAAAATGTCCTGGGGACCATAATTTTCAGAATTCGACAAATTCTTGCAATAAATACTTTATCTACTACCGCTCGCTCTTTCTTGACTTCTTTCTGGATATTGAAAGATTACAGGAGGAAATTTATTTATTTATTTATTTATTGAATTTCTATACCGCCCTTCTCCTGAAGGACTCAGGGCAGTGAACAGATTAAGATTTCATATGCATATAATAATTTTTATTTTATTTTTTTTATAAACAGTAAATAATAAATTGAGTCAACTTGGTGTATCTGCTAAGACCTTGGCATAGAATTTAGATGTTTATGCTAGCCCTGCTTGTTGAAACAGAAAGGTCTTCAGGGCACGTCGGAAAGTGCGAAGATCTGGGATTATTCGTATTCCAAAATGGTCTCAACAAAACAAGTGTATCTTAATTATTTCAACACAGCTACATAATTTAATGTGAATTATTCTCTGCATCTTAGATCTGTCAAACAGGGTGGATTTGATTTAAATCGAGTTGATTTAAATCATGATTTAAATCACTAGTAAAAAGACTTGATTTAAATCAACTCGATTTAAATCATAATTTTTAAAGAGCAACTGTCATCTCTGCTACTCCTTTGACCCACTGTTGACTCACCGATAGTCCCAGTGTTGCAGAATATACAGCCTTGTGCTACATAACTAAGCTCCATTTCATGCTGAATAAACTAAATTATTTATGTATCTTAAATAGAAAACTATCTTACGATAGATTTTTACCCCAAAAGTTTTTTATTAAAATAAATTCAATAAAAATCAAAAAAATCTGATTTAAATCAAAAAATCCGATTTAAATCAAAAAAATCCGATTTAAATAAAAAAAATCCGATTTAAATCAAAAAAATCTGATTTTTTTGATTTTTTTAAAAAAATCATTGATTTTTATCTACCCTGCTGTCAAATAAAGAATACCAATACTTTTGCTTTGCAAAAGAAACAGGGCTTGCCATGTTCTTGATTATCATAACACTGTTATCTTTATACTTATTCCTGAATGAATCAAATCGATAGGTTGTAAATCTAGCGAGTCAGGATAGACCAAGAAGACTGAACTGGGAGATGAAGTTAGTAGTACATGCCTGCCTTTTCTTCCACTTCCCACACCAAATTGGGTTATTGCAAGTAATTTTTCTGTTATTTCCAGATGAAAATCAAAAAGGCAAAACAGCTCTCTTTCTTTTGGATTATATTCAGTAATAAAAATATGACCTTACTTATTTTAGCAGCGCAGGTGAAAATTGCTTCCAATTTGTTAGGATATTTTACAGTGGGAGTGTTTTAAAGAGGTGTTTTGCAAAGTGTGAATGAAATCTCTCCCTTTGAAGCGTTAAAGCAGTCGCCTCCTTTGCGGGGCTCACGTGGCTGTTTCAAAGGCTGTCCCTTGTCTGTCTGAATGCCAGCACAGCCATCAAATTTAGGCCCAGAAAAACAAACACAGCCCTCTAAGTAGTCACACAAAGTTTGCAGAAAATGCAGCTGCTTTAATCTTTTAAAAAGAGGAGATTTATTTACACATGACTTAACTCCTTTGAAAAGCACTTCTTTCAAATGTTTTCCATGTCCCTACTAAGTAGGTACTTCTCATTCATCCACACATGTACGACCAGTTCTTAAGAACTGAAATGTATATAGTATAGATTTAAGGAAAATATTTTAACTTTGATATATTTTGGCCACAAAAGGAAAACTATTATAAAATACTTTAATAAACCTACTTATTAAAACAGCTTACACCTAAGTGATATCAATTGAGTTCACTATGATGTAAATATTGCAAAACAGATACCATCTTAAAGAAAAGCTGCACTGTTTAAAACATTTTACATCGGCCAGTATAAAACATCTAGTTATCATCTTCCTTTTATTAAGACTAGTGGATATAAACTTTTTTTCAAATTTGTTTTAGCAGATCAAAGCTGTAGAATTATTAAACCATTATTAAACCATAACGTTCTACTGCTTCTACCACATAGCAGATCTATATTTATTACTCAATCTTTAAAATCAATTCCCTGAAAGCTTTATGGGCAAGTACTGTATTTTATTTTTGTATTAGCCAATATCAAAAGAAGTGTGATTTTTTTCTTGCCAGATTCTTTTTTTCCTATACAAATTTGTCCCAGAATTTCTTCAGCTTTTATTTTTATTATATGTTTTGTATTTATTCTTCTCTAAAGTATGATGAAGTATTGTAATAAAAATTGTATTCTGACTACAAGTTGCTCTGTGCAGCCACTATATAATTGGATTTTTATGGGGGTTTATATTATAAAAATAAAAAGAAATGTATTATAACTATTTCAGTTTCTGAATGAAGCTACATACAATGACTTAGTGCTAGTATATCATAATATTTTATTTATTTGCTTGGAAATAAGTCCTACTGCAGTCAGTGAAATTCCATATGTAGGATTATATAATATACATCACTTAAATAAGTACTCTATTTTCCCATTGTATAACAGAAAATATGGCTAAAACATTCTTCTAATCTCTTTTTTATTGTATTTAGCATATTTCTACACACAAAATAATTTCATGGAATTTTAGCAATCATCTGATCTAGATTTGATAGTTGTAGTAAAACTTACCTCATTGTTGGATAAATTTTTTCCATTTTTCTTTCTGCAAATAATAAATTTATTTTACTTATATTGTTTCTTACAAAGTTATTTACAAAATTAACAGAACATATTCTTAAAGTTGTTTCTTTACTAAATAAATTCAAAATACACATATACACTATCCATTGGATATTTTTAGTTAAATTTATATTAGCTAATTTTGTTTTAGTTTCTCCTGATTTTATAATCTTCAATAGGATTGCTGTTCCTGTATAATTTAAATGATAAAGCATCTGTGCCTGAAACCATAACTCTAAAAATATTTCCCAATGTTATTTGAGAAAAATAAAAACAGAATTACATAGTTTCAAGATAACAAAAAAAGATGATAATAACCCAGATACACCTAGCTGGTAAAACCAATGCATAAAAATAGCTCCATTTGCACAGAAATTCTCTTTAATTTTCAATGGATGAGGGTATTAGTCTATAACTTATTTTAATTAGATTACCGGTAAGTCAATATATTTTAATATCATTTGTGTGAATTAATTGAGAATATTTTCCTCCTAAACTAGAATGGAGAACCTGTATCCTTTCAAATACCGCCAAGCTATAATTTTTGGTAGTGTCATCTGAATGGCAATGGTGAGTTCCCAGGACTTGTAATTTAGTAATATCTGGGGACCCTATTCTAAAAAGCAAAGTATTTTTTAAATATCAAGATGCAATCAGAATATTAGGTGGACCACTTCTAGAAAATATAAGTTATTTGTTGCATGCCTATATGAAAAACATAGATACCACAATGATAAAATACAAACCAATTTACAATATCTTTAATGTATCAAATAACTGACAATCTTTTAGACCCTGTACATATTTACTTTATTTCACTCAAATATAGATCACACTGTTTTTTAATGGCTATTTATTTATTACATTTCTAGGTTGCCCACTCTAAATGACTTTGGGAGGCTTCACAATGTTAGAATAACAATTCCATTAAAAAAATGAACAAACAAATATAAAACAACTGTCCAAAGAAATAAGCCCATTTTTCCACAAGTCCATTCAGCTTAAAGAGACCACCTTAACTCCAAAGCTGGGGAACCAGCCAGGTTTTTTTGTTACTTGTAGTAGAACACAAACATTTAGTAGAAACAAAAGCAAAAAAAACCCCCAACATTGTACTGGAGAAATACTCTAGTGGACAAATGCAAATTAACCAAAACTCTATATTAATGTACAATTATCTCTTGTCCTAGATTATAGGGAGCCTATTCTTACATCTGTCTGACTGACTCTCTGTCCGTCTGTCTGCTATCTATCAAATTTTTATGTCACCTATCACACTTGCTTGTCTCTGCCTTCAATTCTTTGCTGCACCACCTAAAAAGTTATCAGAAGCATCCATGACTTGATGTTTAATTTTGCCAAACAAGTATAATATCTAAAAGAATACGCCAGGATTTTAATGATAAAGTGAGAACCACCAGCATGTCAAAGAGATAAGATGATGTTTATGCAATGTTTATGCAATGCATTGCATAAAAGGAATCTCTGCTTGTAGAGGATGGTGATGGGAGCACAAATTAGCATTTGTGCCCATGGCTTATTTTAGGCTCACTCTACAAGTTGATGTCAGGAAGACATCAGAAGATGAAATAGTTACATTTAAAGAAAACAAAAGGTGCATGCATATAACACAAGAAGTCTCTGTAAATTTAGTGGACTATCAGAAGTACCTGTAGAATAATAAAATGATGGCTAATCAGGAATTACGTTTCTTGTATATTTCAAATACAACCAAAATGAAGTTAAGAAATTATTAGCAACGGGAACAAACCAACCAGAATGAATGCTTTCATGTTATTTTGATTTTTCACCATTCTTCATAGGTTATACCTACAAAGACAGTTTTATATTTAGTATAAGGGATTTCTTGATGTATTTCCAAAACAGGGCAATATCAGACTAGCTGTTTTCCTGACTTCCACATGTTGAGCTCTGATCAAATATGATTAATTTTGCTACAGACGTATTTGCTGCTATATTTGATTCGTTCATGTCCAATATCTGTTTGAAAGGACAGACAGAATTAAAATAATCTAATTACCTGAATGCAAAGCAAAATTGTAGATAGAAATATTAATTAATTAAACATGCCTTATAACTTTTAACATCATTCAGCAAACATCAAGATGAAACCCAAGACAGGTAAGTTCTCAACTTACAACCATTCATTTAATGACTGTTCAAAACTACAGCAACATTGAAAAAAGTCATTTATGAACAGTTTTCACATTTATGACCTTTGCAGCATCCCTACAGTCATATGATCAAACTTCGTGTGCTTGGTAACTGGCAGGTATTTATGATGGTTGCAGCATCCCAGGTCCTAGGTGTCAACCCTAAAACTGACCTCACCTAAGCCACTTTGAAGCTTCAAAGTCAGTTTTCACCAGAACTGTGCCAATATGATATATCCAATAAAACTATTCTTTGAGGAATCTACCTGCATTGGAGTTTTGTTTGCTATGGGTGTATTACCTGGAACCCTGACACTAGGATTGTCATCTGCAACCTTCTTAGGGAGCTTTTGACAAGCAAAGACAAAGGGAAAGCCAGATTCTCCTAAACAATCACGATTCACTTAACAACTTCAATGATTCACTTAACAACCATGGCAAAAAGGTCATAAAATGGAACACAACTCACTTAACAACTGTCTTGCTTAACAATGGAAATTTGGGACTCAGTTGTGGCCGTTGAGAACTACCTGTACTTTAAATGTTAGATTATATTAGCTTTTGATCTTTGTTTTCCTTGTAAATGTAGCCAATGATGTGCTTTTAGTTGCAAATAGGGGGAATTCTTCCATCACACAAGTATTGGACCTGGCATCTCTGGCTGCATGTGGCCTTAAACTCCTTTGGTCCATCCCCCAGAGCCCCTTCAAAAGTTCTCATATGTATTACATGTATAGGGAATAATCGAATTAATTGTCATTAATTTAATATTTAAGTGAAATCAAATTTAGTTCTCCTCCTAGCCTTCCCCAACTATTTATTCTAGCTTCAGTTGTTCTTTGCTTTCTGGTAATCTACTTCAAGGCAATATGCAACTTTGCGCTAAAAGTAATTGTTATATATTCTTGCTTTATTGTTCTTTAGTCCAGCTGAGGGGCCTCCTCCAAGAAGGTGCCTTTATGGTGCTTTCCAAAAGTAGAATTCCAAAATAATGCTTCTTTTTTTTGAAGCTGGGTACCGGTCTTCCATGCAATGAACTCACACATGCTCAGAATATGATGCTCACTCACCCTTTCAATTCTTATATTCTTTCTTTTAAATACAAACATGAAATGTTAGCACAGGTATGTATGGGACAGACCCTACAGATAGTCCTTGACTTACAACAGTTCATTTAGTGACCATTCGAAATTACATCATCACTGAAAAAAGTGACTTATGACTATTTTTCAGACTTACGACCATTGCAGCATCTCTATGGTCACATGATTAAAATTTAGCTGCTTAGTAGCTGATTCATATTTATGACAGCTGCAGTGTCCTGGGGTCATATGATCCCCTTTTGCATCCTTCTAAAAAGCAAAGTCAATGGGGAAGACAGATTCACCTAACAATGACATTACTAACTTAACAACTGCTATGATTCACTTAACAACTATGGCAAAAAAATGTAAAAGGGGCAAAATTCACTTACCAACTGTCTCACTTCGCAACAGAAATTTTGGGTTCAATTGGGGTCGTAAGTAGTTCAGATATTGAGCCTATGTATTTCCTAACCTGCTTATGCTACCTTTGGCACGATATTCATCCCTTTAAATCTACTTATTGACTAAATGATGAATTTTAGAATCAGACAAGTAAATTATTGCCGAATGAGTATCAAGCAATTCTATTGTTATTCAAACCAATCATTAAAAAAGACACAGCAAGAAAATAAAAACGAACACTAATCTAATTGCTGTCATACCCACTGCTTTTTTTAAAAAAACGAAATAAAAACTATATTGTATGATCCATACCAGGATCTTGGACACATCCTAAGAAAGGCAAGATTTCACCCAAGAATTTAAAAATAGAACCTTCCGCCTGGATATTGGGTCAGAATAAATAATTCAACTTTCTATAAGAAGATATTCCTAAATGAACCATAAATAGCGACAGCACTGTAAGACAGGACAACCAGAGCTATTATTCTTTGCTTTGAATGAGAATAGAGAAGACATCTAAGTTCTCACACCAGTTCTCATTATTCTCTGTGATGAAGAAATGACTTCTAAGACAACTCTTCAGATGGCAATCTGAAGACACCATTCTTCTCACAGCCCCTTCAGAGGTTTGATTTCATAAGAAGCTAAGATTTAAAATATCCTGTCAGACTACTTTTTTTTTTGCTGTCACTGCTCTTTCTCTCCCACCCAGTCTTGGAATATCAAGGATTAATCAATAAACACAAGAAACGCCTTCCCCTACTGTGCTTTTTCCAGATTCTGCTCAAATATCACACAAGATCAGAACAGATCCCTTCTTTTCCAATGGGGAACTGCATTTGCTGGCACTGTGTTGAAAGGATAGAGCTGTGAGAGTAATTTCTCACACTGATAACAAGCCTAGCAAACAATTACAAAAAGAATCAACAGATGCGGCCATGCCTTCAAAAAGCCAACCCTCCTTGAAGGAAAAGAGGATGAGAAAGTGGATCAGAATTTTGCCAAAACTATATATAGTTTTCTTATTGCAACATGAAAAACTTACTGGAATTCTTGTGCTAAAGCTTTACCTTTTTTCTAATGACTATTGCTAAAAAAAAAAAAAAGCTCTAAAACACCTCTGCTTTGCATTAATTGTTTTCAATCCGCATTGCTTCAAGGGAAGCCTGACAACTGCTCATAATCCTAGATGTGAACAAAATGACATTTTTGCAAATATATCCATACCGATCAAATTCATTTCTGGCTTTTGCCTGGTTTGTAACTCTGATTTGTATATTAATGAAAATATTTTACAATGTGTTTGGTTTTCCACACTTATTTGCTGTTAATTATCAATAGGAATCAAAATCCCAAAGAATCAAAAAGTAACACATTGACTTGCTGGGAAGGACAAGCTCTGTGTTACAATAGTCAGATGAAATGTTGCTTCTTTTCTATTATCATAAATAAATTATCTTTTTTTACTTTTACTATTTTACTGCAAAATTCATCCTTATGCTTTTATACAACAGTAGCAAAGCTACTGTAGCAAACCAGTACAGTTCTATGTGTTCTGCATTAGTCAAGTCCCATGATATTCACTTGGGAGAAACTACCAAAAAAATAAAACATGAATGATTCCAGATACTGGATGAGACTGCTGTAGTCATGGAAATAATCTTGATTTAAGGGAGCATTTATGCTTGGCTTCAATCAATTTCCTTGCAACGGAAAATTATTTCCCCTTGACTGAATTTTATCACAGGTAAAGTTAATATACCTTTCCTTAGTGGCAATGTGTAAGAATCCCTCAAAAAGTAGCATTGAAGAATTCAACCTGACACTCTCTAAATCTGTAATGAGGGAACTATGATCTTCTAAAACTTGTTAGCTAGATAAATAACAGGAATTTAATTCAGTAACATCTAAAAAAATGAAGTTTCTCTACTCCTATTCTACATACTACTATCCTGTGTATAGTTTTCCCTTAATTTTCATTTAGCTTCCTACTACCTTTGGAAAGGATATACTATGGCACAACTATTTCTTTAGTTGAATAATCAAGTATGATTCATCTCAATAGAACAAAGGTTAAAAAGTCTATCTGTCCTTGCAACATAATCCTACCTCCTACAAAATCCAGTAATTATGGTTGCCAAATGCTGTTTTATATTATTTGCGTGTAAAGTCTTCTATAGTACTTGGGATAATATCAAAGCTGTTGCTGCTGCACTGTGCAATTCCTATTTGGATAAAAGTATTTACATATCGTTTACCCAGTTAAAACATTTATATCAAAACATTTCTAAACATGTGAATTCACAAATCCATTGATGGATAGAAAAATTCATTTATTTATGAAGAACACTAATAATTTCACAGATGCAATTTTGACTAGAATTGCTTGTTTATATTTCAAGGGTTATTCCATTTAAGATGAGATCATATCAGTTTATTGTGGTGCATTTTATTTACCACAATGCTAAAAACAATACAAATAAAACAGTAATGATACTTCCACTAGAATTCTAACAATCCTGTTCTTCACCACATACTCATCTGATATACTGTAGGTACTATAATTTAATGTATGAACATACTTACTTTACTAGACTAATTTTGAACACTAAGGATGATAATTTATTTTAACCAAGTAAAATTCACTAACTAAATCATTTCACATGAATGGTCATTTAACCATCCAAAGGTCATTTAATTTAATAGAGATTTCCATCGATTATATTTATTTGAATATTCATTCTAATAAAATTCACCAGAAAAGATTTGAAAGGCTGAAGAGACAGTATTAGAAAAGAGTTCATTGTGTGACTGGAGAATCACTGGATGTCATAGTATGAAATAAATCTATATATATGCTTTTACTATAAAAGTAATGTGGCAGATGTGGCTAGGGGGATTTTGCACAAAGCTGTCTTGTGCACCAATTATGCCCTTTCCTGAATGCCCATCTTGGTCACTTCCCTTTGGATTACTGCAATGAACCCTATATGGGACTACCTGATCCAAAGGGCAGCTGTGTGCACAGGGCTGGGCATCTGTAAATTGACCCATATTACATCCCTGTTACATGAGCTCTGGTGGCTTCCAGCGTCTTTCTGGGTCCAATTAAGTTGCTGATTATTACCTTTAAAATCTTACATGGCATGGAGCCAGGTCACCTGCAGTAGTGCCACTCCCTGAATGTACTCATTCCACCAAAGCAGATAGTGTGGGCACAGTCCCTTCCCTTAAACACTACCATCTTATAGGTCCTGGGAAGTGTGCCTTCTCCACTGCTAGCACTACCTTATGGAACAGTGATCCAACAGGCCCCCATCCTTTTAACTCCCAGGAAAGTGATGAGACCTGGCATTTCCCTCTAGTATTGGGAATAGAATGTTGGACATTGCATCAGGAAAGTGTACTTGTTGTGCCTGGAGTTTTTAAAAATTTTGTTTTTGTTGTTTGCATATATTGGTTTATGTTTTGTTGTAAAACACCCAGTGTTTGGCTTTAAAATGAACAGCTCTATAAATGTTCTAAATAACTAACTAAAATAGGTTGCATTTCCATAAAGGCAACATGCATCAGTATGTATATAGGTATGAGCTGCTTGTCAGGTAATTTATAAAATACACAAAACCTGTTGCCAAATCAAAGGAGTATAACAGATCACTTAACAATTAAATAGAATTTCAGGAAAACAAAGGCACGATCAAGGTCTAAGGTTACACTGAAAAAAAGATAGCTACTGGATTTGACAATTAGATAAACTGCTTTCCTTAGTTCTGGCAGCATATAATGTGTGTGTGTATGTTCAACTCATGTAAAACCTCAATTTGCTTGTATGAAGACAAACAACTAAATTATTTGTTGCCTGATTACTTTAATTCTCGCAATACCAACCTAAAAACCTTTAAAATTGTTGTTTGAGTGCTAAATTTTTTTTTAAAAAAAAGTACACAATTATTTTAGCCTGAGTTATCACAGCTACAAACCTGAAAGCTATATACAGTAGTAGTATGCAAAAAGGCCATCATTTGATTTGATTTGATTGGTAGCAAAGTTTTAATGACCGTCCATAATTATTTTTCAGTCTTGAATACCACATCTTGAATATCCAGCTTGTTTGATTTCCCTCTGATTGGTCTCACTGATGCAAAAGAATAATTTTATGTCTGTCGAATTCTTGAACTTTGGCATTTTGCCTGGAATGATGTGATAGAAAGTTGGTCTTATTAGCAAGCTTCCGATGAATTACACTCATAAAACATGTGTCTGCATTGTTTGTAATGCTCAAGAAGGCCTTGCACAAACCTAATATAATAATACCTTTTTGCATAGCTGTCATTTTGACATGTGGATGCATAGAGTTGACTTACTTCCCAGTACTTAGGGCTCCATTCCATTTAGGTATACAGGAGCCAGGTATCTGCTATTGCTCAAGTGTAAGGAGAGGTCACGCTAAATACTTGCCCCTTTAACCTATGGGAGTTGTTTCTTCTGCTTTTTCCTGCTTTTGAATACTGTATTTTCTGGTTGTTTTCTAATAAGGAGAGTGAGATATAATTATAAATGGCCATTATATAATTGCTACAACTAATCTAATGGTGGCCTAAGACTTGCACAGTACTGTACATACCAGCAACAATATGTTTACCCACATTGCAGTGTTTCAACAGGGAATCTTACAAGCTGAACAATAACGCTATTTGTTAACTACTTTTCAGAAGATTCAACTTTTACAGGATTTTTTTTTTTTCTCCACGGATCCATGCATACATCATGTTTCATATAGGACAGTCTGCAGTTGCCCTCTGCAGTTTGTGTCAATTAGATCTTTTGTATAAGAGCCACTGAGTATATTGTGAAGGATAATTATTATGATTGTGAGATTAAAATAATATACATTTTTGAAGTAGTACAATTTCTTTCCCCTAACAAAGAAGAACGGCTGTCAACTATACTGTATATATTTCTGGAATCAAAAGACAGAGCAAACACCAGTACCACTTAGCAAGCAAGTCACTGTAAGTCCAAGATGGATATCATAGCTTTGATTTATCTTAAAACTTGGTCACGGTTACTGAAAACAAACCCATACAAATCTTGGAACATTGTGAAGTCGTCCCTAAACCCTGCATCCACTATTTATGTTTTCCAATGAACTGGGTTTCAAATATCAGAAAGAAATCACAGGAGACCCTCCAGATAAAGGTTTTGAGTGCTCTCTCATCACAAAGGGCAGCCCAAGATGGCCTGGGATCCTTTGGTGACCCCACACAGTTCCAAGCATGCAGGACGAGATCAAGAGTTTGGAAGGGACAAGAGTTGGGTTGAAGGAAGCTTTCCAAGATCAGACAAATAGCGTGCCCCCCCCCCCCCCCCCCCCACCCTCGTTGAAAAAAAAAAGGCACACCTGCTGAATATCCACCTGTTTTTCCAGGGATCAGCAGTTCAACGGCGCTTTTTGTTGACCTCTGTCAATTGCGAAATTCCCTTTCAGACTTTCTTACCACCTTCCGAGCTGGAACTGGCCCTTAGGTAACTGGAGGAAAGGGGAAGATCATCCATCCCAACCCAACCTCGCCCAACTCGGGGGAGCTTGTACTGCTCGGGGCAAATCCTGGAGAAGCCAGCCGGTTGCCTGGCATCGCGATCGCAGCCCCCGACCCAAGCCGGCCGCCCCACCACCACCAGAACCCCGTCACTGACCCGTGCAAGGCGGCAGCGGCTGCTTTCCGCCGCTTTCTGAGCAGGCAGAACAAGGCGCAGGCGGCAGCGGCGGTGCCGGCCATGGTGGAGTAGCGCGCGGTGAGGAACTTGCTGTAGACGGCCATGGCGGCGCAGCAAGAACGAGAAAGGGCGAGCGCAACCCCGAGCGGCGAAGCGGCGGCTGCCGACCGGAGGACAGGTTCGCCGCAAAGAGGGACGTCGGGAAAAAAAGGTGGCGTCTGCCGGCAACAGAGAAGGCTCGGGCCTTGCCCTCTTTCTGGCAACCCCGCCTTGGCTCCTCCTCACCCGGCAGCCGGGCCTGAACGGTGGCAACCTCAGCAGAGAGCGCCGAAATCACCAAGGCCGGGCGAAGGAGAGCGAGGGGGATGGGGAGAGGGAATTCACTACAATAGAGGCGCTTGCTTGCGTCTGAGTAAGCTCAGATACCCACGAGCGGCCGTGGACTGGAAATGAAGGTGGTGATATTGGAATGGAAAACCAAGCAGGGAATCCCCCGGCTTCGAAGCTAGACTCGAGAAGTCCTCAAAACACCCAGGAGGAAAGCAATAGTTTTCTATGTCTATGGAGACTCTCAAGTCATCCAGATCATAGTTGTCCCCAAAGGTCTTTTTTTTTCCAAGAGGCAACTGGACTTTCTGATTATTCTTTGAAGGCGTTTCACTTCTCATCCAGAGCTGAAGAAGCTTCTTGGATGAGAAGCAAAACGTCTTTCAAAGAAAAAACCAGAAAGTCCAGTTGCCTCTTGGAAAAAGGATCTTTGGGACAATAGCAAGACACTTCTTGGCAAGAACACTCAGCTAAAAATCAAAGAGATCTTTGTTTCAAGAGCAGCTGTCAAAGCAAGTGTTGTAAATCGAGGATTACCTGTATTCTGTATATATAGGTGGCAGCTTTTATTGCCCGATTCCCTTTTGTTATGTGTCTACCGCTGTAGCTGTAAAAATAAAGAACAAAAACACAAGCTCTAGAAATAAAATGTCATCAAAGAAAGATCTCAAAGAGGAACAGTTATACAGGTAGTCCTCGAATTACAATCCCAATTTCTGTTTCTAAGTGAGAAATTTGTTGTGAGTTTTGCCCCATTTTACGACTTTTCTTGCTGCTATTTCTTAAGTGAATCACTTCAGTCGTTAAATTAGTAACACGGTTGTTAAGTGAATCTGGCTTCCTCATTGACTTTGCTTGTCAGAAGGTCGCAAAAGATGAACCCGGGACACTGCAACTGTCATAAATATGAGCCAATTGTCAAACCTCTGAATGTATGTCACATAACCGTGGGGATGCTGCAATGGTCATAAGTTTGAAAAAATCATAAGTCATTTTTTTCATTGCCACTGTAACTTCAAATGGTCACTAAATGAACTGTTGTAAATCGGGGACTACCTGTACCTCCAGAAGCAGCCAGTGCTGTTCACCACCTCTGCCTGGAGATTTTTGGGGCAGCAAGAAGAGATTATCTTCTCTTCTAATTGTGACCTTGCAGACTTTAATAGAAAAATCTATCAAGGCAAATAATCTTTCTGATAGTTCTCTACAGTTAATTGTAGTAGCTTGCACATTTAATTCCACTGTCATTTCAATGTGTTCCTACATGCATATATGTGTTTTTGCAAAATGTGAATGGAAGCTCTAGGTGTCCTGTTTTACCTTTGCTACCCCAGGTGTGCAAACAATGCTTTTTCAGTAGGGTGTGAAATAAAGTACAGGTAGTTCTTGAATTATGACCACAATGATACAAACAGAGAAAGTGGATGACGAAATGGTTATGTTACAATACAGATCAATGGAATTTGCCCTGAGGCTGAGAGGTTTGAAAGAAAAGAGTGGTGAAAATTTAAAAGATATTTGTTCCAATGCTTTAGCAGAGCTGATTTCAGAAAGGCCAGAAGATGTGGCAATTCAAATGGATAAAATCTACAGGGTTAACTCCTGGCTGGCAAAACAAAAGCAGCTACCAAGAGATGTGGTGATTTATTTCACAACAAGGAGAATTAGAAATGACATTCTGCAAGCTTCTTATAGAAACAAGATTAAAGTGGATGGACAAGAGCTGGTGGTCCTGAAAGAGCTTCCTCCTAAAATGTTAAGAGACAGAAAGCAGTTTGGCTTTTTGGTGAATGAACTAAGAAACCAGCAGCTCCAGTACAGATGGGATGTCCCATTTGGGATAATAGTGACATACGCTGGGCAAAGACATCGCTTAAACACAGTTGGAAAGGCAAAAGATTTTTACGTCAATGTTTTAAAGGCTGGAAGGCCACCCTCACCAGGGGGTGCTAGAAAGCAATTGGAAATGATACAACAAGAGAAAGATGGAGGGCAACCACAAACTTATGCTCACGTATTAGCTGGAGGAGCTAATTTGGAAGAAGATTTACTGTTGAGTGCGGGTCCACCACCAACCCTTGAGCCATTAAAGATGATAGAGCTGCCAAAAGATCAACGATTGACAAGAGCTACTTACAAACAACATCTGGCACGACAGCCGCAAGATTCAACCCAACAAGTCCAAAAAACACAAGCAGTGGGAGGAGCTAGGCTGAAGTCTAAAATGGCGGAGGAGGTTCAGCTGATGCTCTCAAAGCTTGGAGGACCCAGAGATGGCAAATAAATTTTTATCCTGGAATGTCAACGGTTTAAATTCTCCACAAAAAAGAAAGAAAATATTTCACTACTTGAAGCAATTTCAGAATGATGTTTTTGTTTGCAAGAAACGCATATTAAATCCTCAGATCAAAAGTATTTGATAAATTCGAAATTAGGTACACATTTTGTGGCATCAGCACCAGAGAAGAAAAATGGCCTAATTATATATGTTAAAAGAGGCTTATTGGTTAATTTAATTGAGGCTGACACTCAAGGTAGATATATTGCAATTGAATTAACAACACAGAATGGGAAGCTGCTTGTAATTGGAGTATATGCACCTAATCAACAACAAGACAAATTTTATAAACTTTTATATTCTAAAATACTACAATGGGATTATAGATCTTTACTTCTAATGGGTGATTGGAATGGGGTAATAAATACCCCATAAGATAAAAAAAGTCTTTCCAAGATATCTATGCGTGCTAAGTTGCCTAAATCTTTTTTTGATATTTTGGAGGATATGGAGCTTAGAGACATTTGGAGAGAAAGGAACGTATTGGAAAGTGATTTTACTTTTTTTTCAGATAGGCATCAATCTTTTTCTAGGATTGATTTTATATTAACCACAAATGATCTTTTTTCTAGGGTGAAGAATATGAAGATATGTCCAAGAACTTTAACTGATCATAGCCCGGTTTGGGTGGAACTAGAGCGGGAAAGAGGGGAAAGGAGGTCTTGGAGGTTAAATGAGAATTTATTTAGATATGAAGATAACCTGAGTGAACTTAAAAAACAAATGAAAGAATTTTTTGTTAACAATATGAATAAAGGAACCTCGATGGAGATGGTATGGGATGCTAGTAAGGCATATATGAGAGGAACATTAATTTTCTTGAACAATAAATATAGACTAAAACAACAAAACAGACGGAAAGAGATAGAGGAGGAAATTAAAAAGAAAGAACAATTGCTTATAATTAACCCGGGAGATAAAAAGGCAAAAGATATGATTAATATCTTAAGAGAGCAATTTAATATGTTAATGGCTGGGCACGTAGCAACCAGCATACAATATGCCAGACATAATACATTTTGTAATGCTAATAAACCTGGGAGATGGTTGGCTTACACGATGAGAAAAAAACAAAAATCACGTGTTATAGACAAGATAGAATTTAGAGGTAAGGAGATTTATCAACAGAATTTAATAAAAAAGGCTTTTTTGGAGTTTTATACAAAGTTATATGCTAAAGATGTAATTCAAGATGTTGATATTGATAGATATTTAAAGATGGAGATTCTTGAATTAACGCTGGAACAGAGAGAGAGATTGAATCAGCCAATAACTTCCGAGGAAATTGTTGGGGCAATTAAACAATTAAAAATAGGAAAGGCTCCGGGAACAGATAGGCTAACAGCTGTTTATTATAAACATTTACAATCTGAAATGTTAGAACCACTCAAAATCTTATTTAATAAAATACAAGTAGGAGGAGGAATACCACCTTCCTGGAAAACAGCCTTTGTCTCACTAATTCCAAAGGAGGATCAAAATTCCATCAAACCTGAGAATTTTAGGCCAATTTCACTTCTGAATACTGATTATAAGATTTTTGCTAAGATACTAGCTAATAGATTAATGCCAGTTATGCAACAAATAATTCATAATGACCAATCAGGGGTTTATAAAAGGGAGACAAATGAGATATAATGTTAGACAAATTGTAAATTTACTGGAATATTTGGAAAAAAATAATCAAGTCCCTGCAGCGTTTATATTTTTGGATGCAGAGAAGGCATTTGATCGCTTGAACTGGCAATTTTTATTTAAAATAATAGAGAAAATGCATTTTGGGGAATATTTTACACAATCAATTAGAGCGATATACCAGCAGCAAACAGCACAAATTATAGTCAATGGAGGTTTAACAGAGGTTTTTAGAATTGAGAAAGGAACAAGGCAGGGGTGTCCTCTGTCTCCATTATTGTTTATTTTGACTTTGGAAGTACTATTGAATAAGATACGTGACTCAGAAAAATTGAAGGGTATTGTAATTAGACATCAAGATTATAGATTAAGAGCATTTGCAGACGACTTGGCTGTTACCTTATCCCAACCTATAGAGTCGGCTCCATATATATTGGATATAATTGATCAATACGGGAAAGTATCAGGATTTAAAGTTAATTCACATAAGACAAAGATGATAGTTAAAAATATGCCTATACTTGAAAGAGATAAACTAGCAAGATTAACAGATTTTGAAATAGTTAAAAAGGTTAAATATCTAGGAGTATACATAGCAGCTTCAAATACAAAATTATACAAAAATAACTATGAGGTTCTTTGGCAGAAGGTACAGAAGGATATGGAGAATTGGAAAAAATTACAGTTGTCTTTATTGGGAAGAATTGCAGCAATTAAAATGAACGTGTTACCTAGATTTTTATTTTTGTTTCAAATGATACCTGTGCTTAAGAAAGATGAAAATCTGAGAGAATGGCAGAAAGGTGTTAATACTTTCATTTGGGCTGGGAAAAAACCCAGAATAAAAATGAAAATTATACAAGATACACGTGAAAGAGGGGGTCTCAAAATGCCTAATTTAAGACTATATTATGAAGCAGCGGTCTTATCACAAATTAGGATTGGTTTAACTTAACTGAGCGGAGAATTTTGAATTTAGAAGGTTATGATTTGTTATATGGATGGCATGCCT